TGGCAAGGAGCTGCAGAAAGGGTCTGGTGCTCTGAGTGGCTGAGTGAGGAAGGGAAGTTGAGCACAGTGTGGGGAAGCTGTCCCCAGATTAGCACAGAGAAGCTGACCACCTTTCTGCAGGTCCCCGAAGGCTTCAAGTCTGTGAATGGAGGAAGACGTTGGAAAAACACCTTAGAACTGTGGACACCAGCTTTTCCTTCCACTTCTCTCAGCCTGGTTCAGCCTCCTGCCCCGAAGCCAATGGACTAAGCCAGCCTCATCTGCAAGAGAGGGCTTGACAGCACCCCCTTCTCCCTTCACCCCATGCTTCCCATCTATAAACAGAGATGTTTGGTGGAAAGCTTGTGTTCCTCTCCATAGGAACAGCATGGAATGCAATGCAATTTCTGGTGTCATTTGACATCTTGCAGCTTTTGAGCCACAGAGGGCTGATGGCAGCAGTGGTCACTGTGTTTTACTTACACTTCCTGTCGAGTTCAGAAGCCATCCAGCCAACTCCAGCACGTCTGTGTTTGCTCTGGGGCTAACAAGTGGCTTTGCAGGGAAAGTCAGGCTTTGCCTTTCCTGCTGTCACAAATCCTCTCTATGTGGGTTTGAGAGCCCACTTGTGTTTGGGTTTATGCCTCTGCAGAGGAGGATTTCACTTCCCTTGCACACCCTGTGGCTTTCCCTCAATGTAGAACATTCTTTCTAGATATCACCAGAGTCAGTAACCCTGAAGATTCCACGTGATGTGGAAATCCTCTGGGTCAAAGGAAACCCACAGGGCTTTCACTTGAAGTTGGTCAAAATTCTTTGGAAAAGGCTTACTGTAGCACCACCTTGCCTGAGCTCACAGCTGAGCTCCAAGGAGGAAGGCAGAGCAGCACCCTTGAGGAAGAGCACTCACGCTGCCCCCATGCTCAATGCAAGGATGGTCCTGGTGCTCACCACACTATTCACCCTTTCCCCGTGCTCTGATGCAGGTAAAGCTCTTCATGGGCCCCTGCTGTGGGTCAGGGCTGAGGGTTGTCCTGTTGGGGAGGTCTGCACACTGAAACTGCACACAAGAAACTGCAGCGTGAAGCACAGACAGTGCTGAGGGCAAGAGGAACAACTCCCTGGTGGGGCTAGCAGCATCCCAGAAGCTGGTGCCCAGTTGTGCAGGGCTCTGGGGAGTCAGTGCCCATGGGGATGGGCTGCAGAGGTCCTCACTGCTGAGGGTGGGCACTAACTCCCCAGAGCCCTGCACCAGAATGACCAGCTGGGCACCAGCTCCTGGGGTGCTGCTGGCCCCACCCGCATGCTGAGCACAGCCACCAAATAAAGGTTTAGTTCATGTGGTGGTAGCATTTCTCCTCCTGGCCCCAGCAACTGTGCTGCTGCCTGTTCTGTCGAGGCATGGAGCCAGCCAAGGGGCTGGGGTGCAATGGGAGCTCTTCCTGCTGCCTCCCCGGGAGCCCCAGGAGGTAATTCAGTTTGAGGAAACCTTTGAAACCATCGCCTTTACTCTCCAGGGCCATAGAGAGACCCTCTTTTCTTGGTCTTGGTGCCCTCTCCTGGCAGCTATGGCATGGATGCAGCACCTACCCCAGGGCTCTGTGCGGGGACGTCCAGCCCGGCACTGTGCAGGGGGTGAGCGCAGCGTGCCCGGGATCCCAGCGCCTCACCTCCAGCCTGTTTTTCAATCCGCCTTCCCAGCATTGGCTCCTGACAGAGATGTGCCAGCATATAACCAGCATCATCATAACTTCAGCCCTAGCTTAACCCATTGAAAGGTCTCTTGCCCTGTCCCATGGTTTATGTGGGTCCCTGCCATCTCCATGGTATCCAGTACAGTGGAGCTTGGGCCATCCTTCAGAGCTGACTTCTCCAACCAGCACAGACCTCTGCATCTGCTGTCACCTGTGGATAGGAATAGCAACGGGGCTGTGAGGCTATGATGTGCATTAGAAGCCTCCAACAGAGGGTACAGACCCAGGACTGGAGAAGTGCACCTGTCTGGGACAGTGGTGGTGGGTTCTATGGGAAGATCAGGGTAACCCAGGATCAGCTGTCCTAGAAGACCTCAGCACAGCTGGCAGGGGAGGGCTACAAGACAGAGTGGAGACCAAGACAGACTCTGGAGACAGGCTGAGGAGAAACTTCCTGTTCAGCCTGGAGAAGGCTCCATGGAGACCTCAGAGCAGCTCCAGTGCCTGAAGGGGCTACAAGAAATCTGGGGAGGGGTTTTGGACAAGGGCATGTAGGGACAGGACAAAGGGGAATGGCTTTAACCTGACAGAGGGGAGACTGAGATGAGCTCTTAGGCAGAAGTTCTTCCCTGTGAGGGTGGTGAGGTGCTGGCACAGGGTGCCCAGAGAAGCTGTGGCTGCCCCATCCCTGGCAGTGTTCAAGGCCAGGTTGGACAGGGCTTGGAGCAATCTGGTCTAGTGGAAGGTGTCCCTGCCTGTGGCAGGGGTTGGAACTGGATGAGCTTTAAGGTCCCTTCCAACCCAAACCAGGCTGGGATTCTGTTATTGAAGAGTTGGTTTTCTTTGGCTTTAATTCCTTTTTTCTACATCCATTTCCATTGCCATCAGCTTTCTCTTTGTTCTGGAATTGCCCACTGCTTAGACATACAATCTCAGCACAACCAGTAATGAGTTGAACAGACATGAGGGTTAATACTATAGCCGTTAGCCCTATACGTAACGGATTTGAACAACATTTTAAGTACACTTGCAAACCATGCCTGGTGTCAACCTCCCCCAGAAAAAGGGGTGGGTTCTGAATGTTATGAAAAACTTTTAGGTGGCTTTGGATTGTCATTACATCTGTTTCTATTCTTCTGTCTTGTTCTACAGGTGTTAATGAGAGCACAAACCCCTCCATTGGCCTCTAATAGATCATCTAGTGCTAATTGGCTTTGTATCAGCACTTGAGATCTAAATTTGACCTCTATTTGTAAGGTCTTTCTGCTGTATGGCCTCTACCATACAGTTTGTTATGCTATTTTCCTTGACACATTGCCTTTTCCAATTCTCTTGTTCCAAGCCATAGCACTGGAAGAAGGCTCTGGTGAATTTCTGAAAGCTGGTTATTGTTACAGTTTTGCCTTTGCCTTTTTTGGCCATGGTTGGTGGTGATGAAGGTTTCATCTAGAGAGGGCTGCATTCAACAATAGTGAGGTTGCAGTTGTTGTAGACATCAATAAAATCATGTGCACAGCCTGTGCCTCCTCTTCTCTCTACACAGATGGCTCCTGCCTTTGCACTTGCCTAACCAGGAAACCTGGGGGAGGCCTTGGAGCTCCCAACATGGGGAGGAGACTCTGCCATTGGTGGGGATGGCCTGGGATTTTGCTGGGAGCACCCGAATGTGGCAGTTTGGAAGGGGCTGGAGAAGACTGAAGCAAAGCTCAAAGGTCCACAGCTGGGGCACTGATACCAGGGGAAAGTCCAGTTCTCCAGAGAGCCTCTTGGGACCTCTCCAGGCCTTCAAATACCCCACATGCACTCATTTGCTTTATGAGGAACAGATAGTGGAGGCATTTACTAATGCTTCTGGTGGGGCAAGGTTAATTAGCTAGCGAAAGGGACAGTGGCTGTGTGCCTCAGATGAGCCTGAAAAGTGAGCTCAGAGCTTGGCATATGAAGATTTCTACGTGAGATGTTGGCTGGAGAAAGCCATCAGATCAGCTCTCCCTTAATTACAGCCCTTTGCTTTTAACCAATGTCTGGGAGGTGGTGTGACCCTGGTGGCTTGTTGGGCTCGAGGGTCTGTACACTGGGGAGGAGCTGCAAAAGTGCAGGCTGGGGGATGCAGAAGCTGTGGAAGGGGGCTCAGGGACTGTGTATCAGGTGTCTTCTCCCTGCAGAGACCTTGCCTGAGGAAAGTGTCATGAGAAACCAGCAGTGCTGTGCCCAGTTTTCCATGCCCACCTGCTACTGTGCCAGGTCACCAGACCCAATGGCCTGCGGACCATCCTTCCAAAACACAGTCATAAGCACATTTGATTTGTTTCCTTCTCCTTTCTTCTTCTAGTGAAGTCACACAAGCATGAAATAATCTTCAAAGAAGTCCATTTCCACCTGTCTCTCCTTCAAGAAGCCCTGCCTCGCCTCATTCCCAAGCCACAGCCAGGTCCTCTCCCATGCTCCCATTCAGTATCATCCTTTGTGGGTTCCCACTAGGTCCTCACCCCCTCTTTGCAGCTACATCTCACCTTGCCAGGAAGCAGGTCTTTGCTTGGAAGCTGGGCTAATGTCCACCAGTACTGCATGGTGCTGCCCTCGGGGTCCTCTCTGGGGTCTGGGATGACACTCTGACCTTCCCATGTCAATCCCATCACTGGCATGGGAGCTGGAGGCAATGCTTGGCCTCAGTCTTGGGCTCAGACACAGACACTCCACTTCCTTTGCCCCATTTCCTCCTCTTCTATAAAGTCCCCTGAACCCACCAAAAACATCTCTGTCACCACTTGCTCTGGGATCCCTCCTAGTTTGGTCCAGTGTGGCTTTTTCATCCCATCCCATCCCATCCCATGTTGAGTGCTTCAATGCCTAACCCAATGCCCTTGGTATGGGCAGGGTGGTTGGGGAGGCTTGTTTGGAGGGGACTCATCAGTCACTCACCTTTGACAACTCAGGCAAACCAGCTAAACCTGTCACTGACCTGCAGCTGCTTAGAGATTTTGTGTTGTCTCTCCTGATAGAAATGAAGAAGAAAGCATTAGACTTGACATTTTGTCATCACAGAAAGCTTGTTTATAATCTGCTTTCCTGAGTAAATTTCGCTTCCCCTGAAGCCTCCTGGAAGCCCCTCTCAGCCCTGTGGCTCTTTCGCAGAAAGCAGAAGTGGCCACCCCACTCCTCACCCTCTTCGACCCACCACTGGATGTGCTGCCAGAATAAACGACAGAAATCCCCTTGTCTAAGAGGCTTCTTAGAACGTGTCTGAAATTTGGGGAAAAGTGGTTAAAGTGGGTGGCATGCAGAGGTTAAATTACAGCGTGGTGAGAGCCAAAGGCATAGACACAGGGCAAGGTAGCACAAGACAGGACGGAGGAAGAGCCCTCGCGCTGCCACCATGTTTGCTGCAAGGACAGTCCTGCTGCTCACCCTGCTCCTCACTTTCTCCCTGCACCACATCACAGGTAAGGCACCCCATGGGCCACTGTTGCAGGCTGGGTTCAGCCTGTCCCCAGTGGGGAGGTCAGGGCAAGAAACCCTGGTGGGAAGCATGGATGGTGCTGCTGGCAGGAAGTGCACCCCCCTGGCCAGGGTGGGGCGGCACATCCTGGGGTGCAGGGAAGGATGGAGAGGGTGCTGAGTGACCTCAGCAAAGCCGACCCTGCAGAGATGCTGCAGGAGCTTGGAGGAACCTCTGACAGCCGTTTCCCAGGTCTCAGCTGGATGAGCAAGTGCTTGGACGTGGGGGAGCCTGTTGCAGTGGTTTGGAGACTCCCAAAATACCTTGCAAATTGTGACCCCAGCCTGGAAACCCCCAATACCTCTTCTCCAGGCTGGGCACCCTGACCTCACCATACACTGCAGCAGTGTGGGCTGTGGTCTCACGTTCCCCTCCCCACTACTGTCCACGTTTCCCATTCCTGTGCTTGCTGCCACAAAGGGAAAACAATCCATGCTGTGGAAGTTGCCAAGAAGCTCCACAGCCCCCATCACATATTCAATATCCTGCAGCGTAGCTGTCTTGTGATTCAGTTAGGGCATTCACATCTCTCCTTTCCCTTGACAGCCCACACATTGCCCAGAGAATGCTGTGACAGGTACGCACGGAAAACTGTCCAACATGTGAAGAGCTTCTACAAGACTCCCCAAGGATGCCATCTGTCTGCAGTTGTGTGAGTACTCTCGGGGTCTGCACTGCAGCACAGCTGAGCTGAGAGCTAAAGCAGCTTCTTCCATCCCTACCAACTTGTCTGTGCTACCAGCTTGGTCACAGCTGGTAGCACAGAGCTGGGCAGGGCTGTGGTAGGAAAACAGTTCTGTGGGGTGGACAAAAGGGGAAAAAAACTTGGTTTTGGTGCTTTCTGCTAATGCCAGTGATTTGGGAAGACTCAGACATAGACCATCAGCCTGAGGAGGGCACAGGCTGTTGGAGATGGCTTCAAGCTTCCATCCAGGATGGGGCTGCACACAGGGAGGGGAGAACTAGTGCCTGGGAAACAACAGCTCACAGTTCATGTTTTTACTCTCTTTCCTCATTTTCTCAATGCAGGCTTGTGGCTGCCAGTGGTGACAAAGTCTGCGCCAACCCCAAGAAGCCCTGGGTGAAGAGAGCCATAGAAAAGCTTCAAAGGAAAAAATGAAATCCCCCTTCTGCTGCCCACCATCTGACCTGCCCATCCAGTCCTGTCTCTGGAGGAAGCTGACAGTGCTCGTGGCACTTCTCCAAAGGGTCCCATGGCAGTGGGCACCATCACTGCAGGTGGAGCCAGCCCAGACCATTCCAGGACCAGTGTAATGGTGGCCACCAAGTTGCTCCGCTGTCACTGCCCTGCCAAGATGTACCCAGTGGAGCAAATATTTATAATAAATATATAAATATAGTACTAAAGACTCATTGCCACAAGTTGCTCTTTGAGTTTTTTTCTGATTCTTCAGCCCAAGGACACATCCTGCAAGCCCAGGGCATGGTGTGATTTAAAGCCCCTTTTGCCACGGGCTCATGTTTCTTCAAGCTTGGTGCAAACTGTGCCGGATCACTGCATCCTGCTTTGGGAATGTCATGGTGGGGCCAGGTCTTGACCCATGGGTGAGGTTACCCTTACCCATAGGTAAGTCTGCTTGTCCTTACAGCACACTCTCTGGCCTCCTAGGCATTGCAGGCACTCCAAAATTAGGTGGTTGGAGTGGAGGGTTTGAGGAGAAGATCTAGGTCCTTTATCAACTTCCAAATGTGCTGGTGGCTGCTGCAAAGTGAGGCAGATAAAAACCAATGTCTGCAGTGCCCACAGGGTGAGGATGCAACCCCCTGAGTGGCAAGTGTCATGGACTGATCCTTAGGCTAAAGCCTCATCAGTGTTTCATGCTCACGACTAGAAAACAAGCAGGGCTGTTATTTTCTAGAGTACTGAATGTAGGCAGAGGACAGGAAAAACCCATCCCATAGATCTTAAGCACCATGGGATGATGCAGCAGTGGAAAGCTGAAGCAGAATCAGATTTTTGGGGACAAACATCTCGTGGGTAGCTGTTTATAGACATAAAGCTCCCAAGTTACACCTTGGAAGCATGTAACACCGATGGCTGTGATGGCCAAGTTGTCTTCTGAAAGGAAAAGTGGATCTGGACCATATGTAATGCAAAGGTAGTAAGCTCATGGATAGAAAGCCCCAGCCTGTATTTCAGAGACTCTTTCATCATTTCCCTTACTAAGCAGCCTTTCCCAATCATTCACAGTGGAGGGCTGCAAAGATGATTTCCTCCATTTGTTTCGAACACTGCTGCAAATCAAAACCACACAGGCCCCCAAACAGAATATTACAAGTGGAGAACACAATGCTCAAGGAGAAAAAGCAATTCTTGCAACGGCACACTGCTAATCTGAAGTTTCTGACCTACAGCAAGAGCTGTGTTGCCGAAATGTGGAAGGTGTTACAAGATGCTGTTCCCAATGAGAGGTGAAAATGTTGAGAAGCCCCGTGCATGGGGCTGACAAAGCACACGGCTCCACACTGGCTCTTGCACAGGGATGTGTATTTTAATAAAAATAATTCTGTCAATATACAGCAGACTGTCAGTTTCTTTACCATAATTCCAGTATATTTTCATAGGCTTTTTCCCAGTTAAACCTCCCCCCTCCCCTTTTTGAAGTTTTCATGCGAAGCGTCAGATAACTTAATTCACAAATACTACGCTTAAACTGAACTAATGTGCACAATTTGTGTAATGTCCATTTAGGATGTACCAAAGAGAAGACTCCCCCTCTTGCCTCTGTAGGCGATGAGGGGATCTGCTCCATCACAGCCCAATGGTGGCCGCTCATCAAGGGCTGGTTGGAAACCTGCAAAGACCTCACGGCCCATGACCCAGCTCAGCATTTCACACCTGAGTTTTGAGCAACCAGCAGAAGAGAGTTTAACTGCATTGTGGGTAGGTCTTGGGGCTTGAACATGATGGTGCTGGCAGCCTCTTCCTGCCTGCCCCAGCTGGAGAGCTGTGAGGAATGTGCACAGGTAGGACCGAGAGTCAATCCCCATCAAAGGCATGTGCAGAGTCCTTGGTCCGGAAGTCACCACACATATATTTTTTAAAGTTTTCTTTACAATCCTGATTATCCCCAGAGTGGCTGCTTCTCCTTTCTCCACGTTTGAGCCTGTGAGGAGCCCAGCCTGTAAAACCACCCTGTGCTCCCACCTGGAGGAAGAATGCAGCTAAAGTTCTCCCAGGCAAAGCAGTCAGAGCACATGCCTGGACCCGAGTGGAGTGTCTGTCTGGCCAGAGGAAGATCAACAAGGAGCAGAGGTTTGCATGGTCTCCCGGAACATTTCCGTAGTGATGTGTGTGTAAACCCCACACAGGATTTGCTTCCTGCTAGCACAAGATAGTTAAGCCTCCCTCTTGGAAGAAAACCAGCTGGCAGGACGCACTCCTTAAGCCAGGATGAACCCTTGGCTTGCTGGGCTCTGAGCACTGGTGTGGGATGCAGGGAGAGAGGCAAACATGCCACATTCACTCATCCATCCCCTGCCACTTCTTGTTGCAGGGCAGGATGGTGGAGAGCAGCTAGTGCTTCCTCTGGAGGAGGCTGCTGGGCTCTCAACCACTCCCCTTTCCTTCCCAAATCTACTCTAACATACACACACACACGGCCCACCAACACTACCTCGAGCTCTCTGACCCACACAGCAGATGGGACATGACTCACAGACAAATTTTGCTTCTGTCTGGGAGCTGCTGGACTGGAGGTCCCTCCATCACTCAGTTTTTTGAGGGCAGAAGGGTCCCAGCAGCACACAGCACATCTCCTGTCATGGCCCCTGAACCGTTGTGCAATAACATCTAGGGATGGATATGTACAGCTGGAGCCCCACACCAGCTCTCTACAAGAGACCTACTCCACTGTGGATGCACAACTTGGGCTGCTGTAACACTGGCAGGGTTTGAAGGAAGCTATTCCTTCTGGGTGTACCAGGACCACCTTTTCAATGAATATGTTCCTTCTCTCATGCTGACCAGCTCCATGGGACTGAAGTGTGATGGACCTCTCTGCCTGTTGCCCCATGGGGCAGCTGAACTCTGCACACTGCTTCTTCATGGGAGGCACTTCCCAATACCAAACCACAGCAGCATCACAGCAATCCAACAAGGTTTGCTTTGCTGGAGGAGACAGTTCATCATCCCTGATTCCTAAGGAGGAAAATGATAAATTCAATACTCAGAGCTAGTTACACCAGCTCTGGTTGTTCCAGTTGTTTAAGGAAGCCTCAAGAACAAAGGTATTTAAAGAATGGTAAAGACACCTTGGTAAGAGTGAAAAATAAGGACACAGCTCAAGGACAGGTTGAGATGTCACTGAAAAAACAGAAGGAACAAGGAAGCAAATGGCAAAATGCCTGGTATACATGGCCAAAAGGAACAATGCTCCAAAGGGGCCCATTCTCCACACCAGTCACAGCTGCATCTCCCAGTGTCCACATCAGTTGGGCAGTAGGACAGTCAGCACCACAAGGATGTTGGAAATACAAACAGAGGACTTGGGGGTGTTGCTTGATGAGAAACTTAACATGAGCTTGCTTTGGTGTGTGCTTGCAGCCCAGAAAGCCAACCGTATCCTGGGCTGCATCAAAAGAAGCATGACCAGCAGGTCAAAGGAGGTGATCCTGCCCCTCTAGTCTGCTCTTGTGAGACCTCACTTGGAGTACTGTGTGTATTTCTGGTGTCCTCAGCATAAAAAGGACATGGAACTCTTGGAACAAGTTCAGAGGAGGGCCAAGAGGATGATCACGGGGCTGGAGCACCTCCTGTATGAAGACAGGCTGAGAAAGTTGGGGCTGGAGAACAGAAGCTGCATGGAGACCTCATAGCAGCCTTCCAGTATCTGAAGGGGGGCTATAGGGATGCTGGGGAGGGACTCTTCATTAGGGACATAGGACAAGGGGTAATGGTTCAAACTTAAACAGGGGAAGTTTAGATTGGATGTAAGAAGGAAGTTCTTTACTGTGAGTGTGGTTGAGACACTGGAATGGGTTGCCCAAGGAAGCTGTGAATGCTCCACCCCTGGCAGTGTTCCAGGCCAGGGTGGATGGAGTCTTGGGTGACATGGTTTAGTGCAAGGTGTCCCTGCCCAGGGCAAAGGGGGTGGAACTAGATGATCTTAAGGTTCTTTCTAACCCTAAGTATTCTATGATTCTATAGGACTGGTAACCACACACCTTCTGCTGTGTCCCACAGCAATGAGATGCAGTTCTGGTACATGTGGGGGGCTGCAAGGAAGGGAGAGCAGCCACTGGACAACCTCTCCCAAACAGCTGGACATCTCATACTTGGTGCTTACTTTGGAGGTCCCTCTCCATGGTGCTGGCCACACAGAAAGGCTCAATTCCTAACCAACTCCAGAAAAACAGAAGAAGTGCTAAACCCAGCTGAGCTGCAGGCCAATGGGTCCCTGTACTGTGACAAAAAGGGATGGTCACACACAGATCTGCTATTCAGGCCAGTGCAACAGAAAGAAGCCCAGGAAGAGTAGCTGGAGTTGCCATGTCCATGCTCAATGAAGATGCTGTAGGCATGAGCTGCAGCGTTGACCCTGGTCTCAAAGTAGCTTCTGCAGCACCAAACACCATAGATACCACCTCTGGTAGTCCCACAGATGAGAGAACACTGGGATTGTGCAAGGCAAAGGAGCAAGAAAGGATATCTAAGAGCAGTAAGAGCTTTCCCCAAACAAGCTGGCTCTGAGAGTACACCTAAGTTTGGATAGGAAACAGACTGCTGCCTTGCCTGCTCACAGGATAGCCTGACTGAGAGTTCACCCAACCCTGCAAGTCTTGTATCAGCTTTTGTTAAATACCTGCTAGGATAGGATCATGGAGCCACAGGAGGAGTCATTCAGAACAAGATGGCTCTAAGAGAAACAAGAACAAGAAGATTTGGCTTCCTTGGTACAGGAGAAATGGCCCTGGAATGCATCCAGCAGAGGCCACTAAGATGGTCAGAACTGGAATACAAGGTATATGAGGTGGATACACCTCCCAGAAGCATTTTTCCCAGCTACTCCAACGCATCCACCTCTTGAATCAATCACCCCGAAGTTCTCCCATGTTACTGTTGATATGACTGCACTCACTGCTTATGGGGACAGCACAGACCCTTGTCTGTGAGGAGAGAAGCCTGGTGATGTAATTCAGCTCCATGATGCTCCCTACACAGAAGCCCCAAAGAACACTTTAACCAAGGCTCCAAGTCTGGAGTTCCCAAAATGTTGTTTTCAAAGGGCCACTTAACAAGGCAGGGCATAAGGCTCAAAACCAAAGCCCAGGATGTGCAGGGCTGCAGTTCAACACCCTGAAAAGCAGGTTTTCACTAACTCCCTCTGAAACATTATCCTTCTGAGAGGCCCTTGCTGCAATGCAGCATTGGAGGTAGATGGGTAGAATGGCTGGTGTCCAGAGTATGTAGAATCATAGAACCAACTAGGTTAGAAAAGACCTTTAAGATCAAGTCAAACGGTTACCCCAGGCCTGACAAGTCCACTACACATAGCTGGAGTGTGCTTGCCACCGTGTAGACTACAGCTATTTGGTGCTGACTCTGGACTGATTAGTGGAGAGCAGAGACCCCCTTAATGCACAGACACAGAAGACCTAGAATAGGTTTAGTTGTTTATAGCTGCAGCATTTCATATCCTGGGAAGTATGCCATAGCTATAAAGCCCCACTTGGGACTCCATGATGAGAAATATGAGCAGTGTCTGCCTGTGGTTTGGAAAAACCTTCTTCTAGAATCTGAAGTCCAGCCCAGTAGAGAGCAACATAGGTGTCAACATTATAATGTATCCCTGCCCCTGGCAGGGTGGTTGGAACTAGATGATCCTTAGGGTCCCTTCCAACCCAAACCAATCTGTGATTCATTATATGATAAAACAGGGCCATAGCTGAGACCTTGTCCTCCTCACCTAGAAATGGGAAGCCAGCAGTTTCTATGAGGGGCTACTCAATCATTTGTATGGCTTTACTGAAGGGCTCTTCGGAGAAGTCACACTGTGAGGGATTGCCCAGATGAAGCAGAGTCTCAGCTGGCGTGTTCTTAGGCCAGATTGGATGGGCCTTGAGCAATCTGGTCTAGTGGAAGGTGTCCCTGCCCGTGGCAGGACGGTTGGAACTGGATGATATTCTACTAGACCAGGTTGCTCAAGGTCCCATTCAAGCTGTCTTATTACTCTATGATTCTAAGACCTGTTTCTGAGCAAAGAATGAAGCATCTGAAATAACAAATCCCAGATCACTTTAAAAAAAGTAATTTTTTAAACTGCACATAGCTTTTGTTTAGATGTGCAATCACAATTAAAGTTAAAACCCTCAATTCAGTTAAGTTCTGTTTGTTTTTTTAAAATGACTGCAAGAATTCAAACCAAGTCTCAGCTGACATGAACCATCAAGGAGCAGCCAGGGACATTCAAAGACCAAAAGGCTTTGAAAAATAGTCTGGGAAAGCCAAGTCAGACATATTGTCTAGAAATCCATAGTAGGCTGAAACCTACACCTACACCCCACACACTACAAACACACTTACACATCCCCACATGAAGTCATGGCTGCGTTAGTCAGAATCTGAGGACAACGAGAAACCACTAGTGAAACCACAATAACACTTGAAATAAAAAAAAAAACCAAACAAGTAACAGGTGACAGATATGTCACAGCAGAAAAGCCTTTGCACTCCTCAAAAATCAGGATCAGGACAGCAGGTACAAGAGCAGGCAAGAGAAGCTGGGAGCAGCAATGGGTGTTGGTTACAGCAGTGAGGCTGGTCAGGAACTGGGTCAAGCAGAAAAGGAAGAAGAACTCAAGCTGCCATTACTGCTTTGACTGTAAGAAATGGAAAGCATCACTGCTCTTCCTGTAGATCTTTCTCTGTAGCTCTTTCCCTGTAGATCGTCTACAGGGATCTGCTGCCATTATCAGTGCTGCACATCATTTGTGGCAGTGAGGGACACTGACAATTAGTCACCAGTAAGAGTGTGACCCGTCAACACTAACCCTGACACAAGAGCAAGATGGTTTCTACGACAGGGATGCTCTCCATGAGAAGCCAGAGAGACCATCTCATCACACCAGGATTTCTTGGCACCAGAATAACCCTGTATCTAGGAGCATCTCTGGGGGGTTTTGCAGTGAAAAGGAAAACAATGCAAAATAAAATGCTCTAGGATAGTCAGTACAGCTTTGCTGAGAGACTGAGGCATTAATATGACACATGACAGAGACTTGGCTTAAAGAAACCACCAAAAGAAGGAACAAAAAAGCTCAGAAAAAGACTGTGTTGTTACAAAGACGAGAGAAAAGCCTGACTGCAGCTAGACAGCAGCAAGCTGAATGGTGACCAACAACAGAGGAAGTCACCAAATGTGAAAGGCAAAGCCAGGTACTATGGTATTTTCAGCCACAATCAGCCTCTCAGCATGCCTTAAGCCTGGGTCTAAGAAATGGAGAGCCTGCAGAAGAATCTCTCACCAGGACAAGTTCACATACTGCCTTAGGCTCAGCACAGGCACACAAGGGCTTCAGAAAGGAGTTAATTGTCTCTGCAGCTGCAGCCAGGAAAGGACTGCAGCCTGGGTAACAGCCCTCACTGGGACAACCAGCAGAGTTGAGAATCAGTAGTGGAGCTTCCAGCCACATGAGCTGTTCCCAGATGCCTCAAATTAAGTTGAATTCTGCATGGTGCAGTTCTCTGCTCCTGTGTGTCTAGAAGAAAAGCTTTAGTACACAGAACTCCTCCAGTTTTTTCAGCTGAGTTGATCTAATAAAAATCTCTCCTCCATCTCTAAACTTCATGTTGCCTGTTTACTTCGGCCACCACTGCTCAAGCACTGCCTTTACACATTGTATACCTTCATTAAAAGGTATTCCTTATGCACTAAATGCGCATTGCCAACCACCTCCAACACCATCTGCACATTCACTGCCTCAGTTGCCTTCTGCAGTGTAGGGGACACCTGGTCCCTGCTCTACCTTGGTTTCAGACCTCATGTTCCATCTGCAAACCAAGCCTGCAAATGCAGAAAATCATTAACGCTCTGCACAGAGGTCACATAGCACCATCCCTTCTTCAGCAGCACACAAGCTCTCTGGCTGTGAAGCCCTGGCGCTGCCTAACCTCCATTTTCAGGGCAAACTTCAACACAATCTCTTCATCTGTCACTGACCTTTCAAAAAACAATTCATAAACAGCAGTAAAATACATGTTGGGTCTCAGCACTAATGGGCCCTCCTCAGAGCTACTGACCTAAAACTCATCTGGTGCAGAACTACACTTCCTCCTGTGCAGCCAGACTGAACCTGAAGTCTTCTAAGGCTATTACCAGTGGATTCAAAGCACATGGTCCTGCTACACAGCCTCACCACTTAAAAGTACATGCTCAGAAACACAGGCAGATGATTTGAATGCCAGAAGCTCAGTAGCCCTCAAGTCCCTGGGCCTGATACATACTGCAGAGGGACACATTAATCCACCTTACTTCGAGGTTACTCAAGCACAGATCCTTGCTTTGGTCTGAAATTAGAATAATTTTCTTAGCACTCCATAAAGAAATGTTGCTGCTTCCTTCTGAATGGCTCAGACCTTACAAAGTTGGTACTGATGTAAACCACAGCCTGATCTCAGCCATGTGCCATCTGCAAGGGTGAACACAGGTCAGCTTACTGTTCCCAAGACACTTCCAAATTTAAAAGTACTCATTTAGATCAGTGTTACCTGGGGAGAAGCAGCAAGTACTATTATTACTGTATTTTAGTGACAGAGCTGCCCTATACAGAGAAAAACGGGGGGCTGTGATTCAACACCAAAACTGACAGCCCAACTGGCAGCATCCATGGATGTTTCCTGGACGCCAACCACCTGCTTCTACCAACACAACAGTAGATAGCTTAACATTCAACAATCTTGTCCTTCTTATTGCTGTGAGAGCTTGATTTACCCATTTCTCAGGGCTGTAAGACGCTGCTACAATTCAGCCACTAACAGAGGCAATGTCAAGTCTTCTAATCTTTCCACTCACAAAGACAAGGATTTGAGAGCCTTGTGCTCTTAAGAGAGGCATGCACCACAAAGGACCAAGCTGCTCCACTTTTCATCATTAGTGCATGACAGGATGTACCTCACTAGATTTCCTGAAGGGCTGTATGATGTGTATGGCTGGGACTGAGTCTGTGGGCAATAAATACATCAATGACTTTGTGGAGGTGTAAGTGACCTTTTTAATAAACAGGATTCAAGCAAAATAAACAATTCCCTCTGATCTGCCACTGTGAGAAGAGTTCAGGTAACTAGCACACAAGATGATGCTGTATGGGCATAATGGAGGAAGAAGGGAAGACAAGAACAAGCTGTCAGCAACTTGATGAGCTTCCTCAGTAAATCAGCAGACACCAGCTCAGCAAAACTCTCCAGATACAATATTGGTGGATCCATGAGAAACAGCTCAAATCAAAAGAGAAATCCCTACATTGGAAGGTGCTACATTAGAAAAACCATCAAAATATTGAGTGCCGCTAGAGCCACAGCAATGGCACAGAGACAGGTAAGATCTCCCAGCTGTTCCTGGGGTTGGGAATAGCCACACAGTGAGGGACTCACTCAACCAGTTCACAGGCAGTGTGTGTGTGTGCTAGAGGGGTGTTGGTGGCAGGGAGGTCAGGCTATTGAACGAGGTGGTGGTGTAGAGTGGCAGCAACGGAAGGTGAAGGGCAGCACTCAATGATGTCAACTCCATCTTGCTCAGCTGGCTAGTGCAAATAGTCGTCTACTCTGGCAAAGGAGCAGGAGCCCAAGCCCACGCGAGCCATAAGCCGCAAACATTCCGAGGCCTGGCCCAGGGCAAGCATCAGTGGGGGCTGCTTTGGCACGTTCTGAGATTCTGTGGGGCAAAAAAAAGAAATCTGTTTAGAAGAGGTGTCCGGCTGCCTGTGCTAGGTCCCACTCAGTCCCACCCGGTCATCAGGCCCAGCACCCCTGGCAGAAAGTGCTGGCTCTGGAAGGAAGCTATTCCTGAGCACCACTGGCTCTGCACCACTGCTCCTCTGCATACCCCACCACCCATGACATGTCCCACATGGAGCCACAGCTCACCACAGCCTTTGAGAAAGTGCTACTGTGGTGGCCAGGGAAAGAAAAAGGCAACGGAGCTCCTGCTGCAAAACCCCCAAAACATGAGAAATCAAAGTGTGGAAGAATAAGGAAAAGCAGGAGAAACTGGAACCAAATGAGAGGCAACCTCTCCATCTCTCCCACTTATGCAAGTCTACACAGCAGTCCAAGCACCAGACAAACTCACTCACTGGTCACTGCTTCTTTCCAACATCATGTTTGCTATGTATGCAAGAAGGAATCCTCAGCTGACCTAGACAAGGTGTTTTCCGAGGGCTAGATCATTACCACAGCCTCAATTCTGACACTGGACTACAGGCAGTCAGGCCCTCTGGGCTATAAGAAGCATAGCACATGATGGAAACACACAGAGGCAATGCCTGAAGGGAATACAAACTCTGCCCACGTTTAACTCTGCACGTTCTGCATGAGCTCAAAGGTAAGTGGAATTACAGCTCCCCTCTGCTTTATATCCAGCACTATGGAAACCTGCTTCACTTACGATACTGCAACACAGCAACTGCATTCCCTGCCAGAAAGTAGAATGATAGTAGGACAAGCCTCTGCCAACCCAAACAGCACGGAAAAGAGCTCTGGTAATGCCAGCAAAATGATTCAGGTGAGTTCAGAGCAAGAAGGAGAGGCAGGAAATGTATCAAAAAGATCTTGGCTTCTTTAATAAGCAGGGGAGGAAAATCCTAAGGAACATCCTTGGAAGTAGCATTGAGGAAGACCCAAGGAAGGGAGTGAAAAGAAGATTACATCAGAAGGATTCATTCTCTGTAGGCTTTCCTTTCTGCATCACGGCCCTGTCAGTCCTGAGCAACAGGAAGAGAGGCAGAAGTACAAGTATTTCTGAGCTTTTCCTGCCACTCACAGGCTTGCCTGACACAGGACAGCTCTTGAGAGGTATGTCCAGTGGGTGACACTCACATAGGAACCAGGCCTTACCCAATATAGCACTATTAAGAGCAGCACACACAGGTTCCCTCTGGATCGGGTCCAGCTGTTGACCAACAGGGCAGTTCCAAGGATCTGAGTAAGCTAACAAGCTAAATGCATCCTGTATGAGAGAACAGAAAGGTACAGTAAGGTCATGCACAGCTGCAAAGACACAGGAAAACCAGGTCCATCAGCTGGGGCACCTCCTGCCATCACCAAGGTGATAGGTGCCTACCTCCTGAAAAGAAAGGGCCCTTTTCTTCTTGGCAGCAAGGGACCACACTGGGCTGTCAAGATAGTGGATTAAAAAGGGTGCCCTCTCCATGTGGCAGGGGAGCCAGCACAGGAAGGCAGGTAGTCACCTGGAGAGAAGAGCATGCATGTAGTTGCTCCAGGAAGGCAGGCAGGAACTGTGTTTCTTCTGTCCCATGCTGAGAATTTGGTCTAGATGATCTGTGCTCACCAAGCTTCCACCTCTGATCCCCATGCAGGCCCCCTCTTCCTCACCAATAGCAGAAGTGGGGCATACCCACAGCTCTGCAAAGGAGCCCACAACCACAGTCCTGGCCCACAGAACTGCTGCGAGGCAGCATGAGGCCCAGGCTTACCTGAAGCATCTTTTTGTGCACTGTGTTCTTTCCATATTCCCTGCAAAGCTGCTCACTCAGAATCTGCAGCTCACGTCCAAACTGGATCATTCGTTCTGTGGCAGCATGGTTCCCTCCACACAGCTGCCTCTGGGGGCAGCTGTCTTCTAGAGAAAAGGCAGAGGAGAAGTAACAATTGTCCTTCATTCCCCACCATTGCCCACTCTGTGACATGACACCCATAAACTCTTTCCCCTTCTGGAGAAGGTAGCTGCTCTCCACTCTGAGTTTATCCCACTCGAAGCCTTCTGTGATTCCTTAACTGCAATAGCCAGTGGTATTTTTCATAGCACTTTTTAGGTACAGGGAAAACTTAAGCTCAGTTTGTTTAATGCCTGAGGATTAGCTACATATCAAGCCTTTTGATAAAATCATGGGAGCTTGCACCTCCAGCCACGTTTCCTCTTCACGTGCCTAGTATAGCACACACAACTGGTAACTTCTTGGTCTAACCAATCCCAGACTCCAAAAACTTTGTCAAAGATGCTAACACCACCAACTTCCCAGAACGGGTTGCCCACAAGACCCATTCTAACTGGAGGAATTCCCAGTTTCATTCTCTCCCTCCCACCCCAAAGTTCAAAGTTGAACTTCGTGATAGGGCATCAGCCACCTTTCCACAGCTCAGTTCAGTTCCTCAGCTGGCATAAGTGCCAGGACTGCTCTAAGCTGGTTTAATGACCAGTACTGAACAACCCTTTGACTCCTACTGCTTTCCCTGCTCCACATCACCAGCACTGGTGAGAGACTATGAAAAACCAGACCTAGTTTAGTTCCAGGACAGATTCATCTTCCCCGTGAAACAGGCATCTTGAGAACTTCATTCACTGAGGTGGGTATGTGTTTTTTTTTCCCCCAGTCCAATTACAATCGATCTCTCAATACCAACTCTTTCTATTTCCCTTTACCCTTCCTGCCTCTGACGCCCTACCCATGCTGGATTCATCAGTTTGCAGGATCTCTTCATGTTTGTAGGTGCCATTCATTATCCTGGTAGATGAATTTTCCAGGACTCCATTAGGGTAATGCTCAGCCTCCATTTCCATCTCACTGTCACTGAGGTGAAAGAAACAAAGAAAAGTCAGAGGTAGGTCCATGCACACCTCTCAAAGTTCAACAAGGGCAAAGGCAAGTTCCTGCATTTGGGTCATAGCAATCCCAAACACAAATACAAACTGGATGGAGCAGCTCTGAGGAGAAGGAGGTGTTGGGTGACGAGAAGCTCCCTATGATCCAGCTTCAGTGTGCTCTTGAGCCCAGATCCCCCCAAATGTGCTGGGCTGCAACACTAGAGCATCAGCAGCAGGTCAAGGGAAGGGATTCTCTCCCTCTACTGTGCTCTGGGGAGAACCCCCCTGCAGTCCTGTGTCCAGCTCTGAGGCAAAAACACAAAAGGGATGTGAAGCTGTTGGAGTGAGTTCAGAGGAGGCCACGGAGATGCTGCGAGGGCTGGAGCAGCTCTGCTCTGGAGACAGGCTGAGAGAGCTGGGCTTTTTCAGCCTGGAAAAGAGAAGTCTCCAGGGAGACCTTCCAGCAGCTCCCAGTGCCTGAAGGGGCTGCCAAGATATCTGGAGAGGGGCTTTTGACAAGGACCTGTAGGGACAGGACAAAGGGGAATAGCTTTAAACTGACAGAGGGAGACTGAGATGAGATTTTAGGCAGAAGTTCTTCCCTGTGAGGGTGCTGAGCCCCTGGCACAGGTTGCCCAGAGAAGCTGTGGCTGCCCCATCTCTGGCAGTGTTCAAGGCCAGGCTGGACGGGGCTTGGAGCAACCTGGTCTAATGGAAGGTGCCCATGCCTCTGGAAGGAGTAGGAACTGGATGAGCTTCTGGATTCTATGAGCCTCCAAGCCTAAGCCAGAGCAGGGGAACTGGAACAGGCTTGTTTCTGCTGGGAATAATAGTGATCTTGTAGATAATTCTGATGCTCAGAAGAGCAGGGCAGATGCCTTTCTGGCTCCTCCTGAAGCCTACACCTACACCCCACACATCACAAACACACTTACACACCCCCACAGAGTAGACTCAGAAGGAGCCCTCTCCCACCATCTCACCCTTCTCAGGCACCTACAAAGAAAAAAAAAAATACCTGGTTTCTTGATTACTCGTGCTACTGTGCTGCTGAGATTTGGTAGAATCTGTAGAATTGGACTCAGAGTAGTTCACAGATGAGGGGGAGGAGGAAGAGGAAGATGAAGATGATGAACTCAGTGTTGGGTATTTACTGTGACTCTGTTTGCTTTTCATGGATACAACTCCATTGCTACAGGTTGGACTGTCCGCTCCTGTAAGTCAAGAGGAAGGAAAAATGAGACCAGAATGGCAATATCACTATACTGTGAAGCCAGCAATTTATCAAGAGAGCAGACCCCAAAGGAAGAAAGCAAAATAAGACTTCAGAGCTTCAATTATGGTTCATTGTCCTTAAATTCAGTGGGGCTTAGAGAAAACACAGATGTATACAGAAGGAATCCCATTGCTCACCAGCAATATTTGAGCTGAAGGAAAAAACCTGTCTAAAACCAGGTTGCAAATAAAAGATGAGCAGAAACAGCTCACACAGGTATAGAAATTATTTTTGAAATATGAAGCATGGATGGTTTGTAAAGAAGTTTACAAACCCTCTTCTCACAAAATCAAGTATTTCTCATAAACCCCCTATCCAGAAAAACTAAGCAAACACAGGTGAAAACTGGGCAACAAGGAGAACTCTTGGCAGTAACAACTTGCCAGGCTTTCCACAACCTACCTTACATTAGGGGTATATTCGTTTCACACAACACTCAGCATGTAAGAACAACCCTCTTAAAAGTCACGAGCTTCAGAACAGACATCACTGAAAGGAGAGTCAGGCTTGAAATTTCAACTGGTCCCCCCCCCCACCAACAGGTGTCTAACAAGCTGTGGAACTCACTGACACAAGACAAAACCCCTTAGTCATTACTGCAAGTTTTATATGGATTCAGATAGGACTGGCTAACCTTACAGGGGCTATTTAATACCAAGACAACTGTGAATAATAATTTGGAAAAACCTCATTATGGTTTTTCTGCCTTCATATATTCTTCCCTAGGCAAACCACTACTGACCACAGGATCTTGGCTAGATGATGGAACCTGGCATGGCTGTTCTTCCAGAAATGGTGATACATTCAAATTCATCAGCTGATCACACAGTTATAGTTAGGGAATTTATTTCTGTTTTTATCATGACAACACAGAGATCCAAACAAGTGCATTTTAATGACAAAGACGCAGCAGACTGTGCACTACAGTTCTGCTTAACCTTTGAAAATGTGCACTGATTAAATGATCACTATTTTCAAAGCACAAGGTCTGACAGAGAGAACTGTGAAGGTGATGTCCCATGGATGGAGACACATACATGTGAGTGCTGCCTTGTGCTGCAGATGCAGGCATTTTCTGGCTGAAAACAGGTATTACCAAGAGCTTTTATGGACTGATGGGATGATTCTGACTACCTAGTCAGAGAAACATACCCAGGGTTTCTCACAACACAATACAGGAAAACAAAGATACTGGCTTAGGAAGGTGAGTGACAGCTTGGAGGCATTCAAGTACCTGTCTTCCTTTCCCTTCAGTGTTTGCCTGTGCACAGCAGTGGGAATACCAAAACAAAATACACTTACATGGCTGTGAGCAGCTCAAGGCTCAGTGAAGCAGCTCTGAGTGTTTTCAGGGGCTCTGCAGGTCATACTCCCTGGTCCACTCCATCTTCAAAGCCTTAGTCAATAATTACCTAAGGAACATATCTTGGGTGTCCTGGTTTATCTTGTTCTTTCCACTTCAAATCATGAAGTTTACTTTCCCTAACTGCAAAGAGTTGATGCTCCAGAGATGGGCTTTGAAGGAACATAACTGTTCCCTTCTCACATGCTTAGAGCTTGCAAACCAAAGTCCATGGGGCAGGGAGATCCTCTCATGCAAGTCAACCCCCCTAACCTTTCACTCAGTTGGCCAAAACTGAGCAGCATCTTCTGCTCAGCTCTTACTGAAAAGCAGTTCTTTTGCAAACTCCAAGGTCGAGGAGCAGGGCTTGTTTTCAGACCTCCTCGTACAGCTCTGTCAGTGGAACACTGAGTCACTAGTGGCTGCATGAGAAGGCCACCTTCAAAATCTTCTTTATTGTGAAAAAAAAAAACAACCTGCTGTGCAGACAGTTGTCAGTGGAAAATAACTAATGAAAAATTAATTCTTCAACTGTGTAGAGACACCTATGATCACATATGTCCTCTCAGCTGGTTATCACAAAGGAAAGGAGCATTCATTGAATAATACACAGAAAACAGCAGGTAAGGTGAACACATAACCACGTCCACCTTTTACATTTGCTTTTCTCACTACAAGACAGAGAACACACTTACCGGTACTATGAATGTGTGAGTTGTTTGATCCATGTCTAGGACTTAAACTGGGGGACCCGGGGTAACTGTCCTGGGATCTGGGGCTGCGGGCACTGAAACAACGGACCTCACTGTCAGTCCCATTCACCATCTCCACAAACTGTCGACACCTGGTTTCACAGGAGGGAAGAAGGAGAAGAAGCTGCATGACAGCCAGGATGCTCTGCACCGAGGCTTCCTCAGCTACCAAGCGGAGAACTTCTGGAAACTGCATACAAGTTAAACTTCTTGGCTTTCAAAAACACATTTCAGACTCCTGGTACCCACGTATTGCAAGTGCTCTGATAATGCTATAGGAGGAAAGAGTTCAGAAACTTCAACTTTGAAGTTAATGAATGTTGAGACATTCCCAAAAAAGCAAGCTTATTTCCATTGTAGTAAGAATAAACTGCTCCTTTACAGCATGCTTTCATCTCCACCACCTCTGCAGGTACTCCAAAATTCTATTGTGGGTTGTATTTTTTTCAGATAAAAGATACTAAATCTTCCAAACATCATAGTTCCCCCACTATCCCATCAGCCTGGAAATACTGGCAGCCAACAGAAAACAGAGAAGTAAGGGTAAAAAAAGGCAATACTCCCAGAGATAGTGAGAACACTCCCAGAGATAGTGAGGACACTCCCAGAGATAGTGAGGACAACTCCTCATTTAGCTTTACTGGGAATTGTCCTCATATGTCTCAGAAGGCTGGGAAGAGCCACTCTGTACAGCTGGAAGAACTGGGACACATAAGCTCTTTTTCCCTCTAAACTCTTCCCCAGACAGCCCTTTCTATACTTCTGCCTTTCTAGGAACCTCCACAGTGACTGCCACATGCTCCAATGTTGGAAGATCTCTACAAGACAGGTAAACACTACCTGTGAAGGAGCAGAAACTCCTTCACAGAGCAAAAATTTCACCTACCTCTGCCTCACGAGGTAAAGCCATACCAGGTCTGAGCAGCAACAACAGGGCTAGGTCTACATTGCTACAAGCAATGTGCAAAGGGCTGAACCTCCATCCTCTCCCACGTGCTCCCAAAGGGATCTCGAACAATTTGAATTCAGATCAAGGTGTACAGCCAGACTGGATGACTGGATAGCCTCTTTCTTCTCTCCTTCATCTACACATTTCAGCATTAGGGAATATAAAGCTATTCATACTTACTTTAACATGAAGAGCAGGTTGGGGTTATGTTCTAGGAGGCCAGGATAGAGCTGCTGGGTGGCTTCTATAGCCTCTCCCACTCTGCCTGCTAACACTAGCTTCTGTATTCCTGAAAGCAAAAGGAGACCAACTGACACACAGGACTCATCAACAAGAATGGCCAGAGGAATTGTCTCACATATGCCACATGGCTCCCCACTACCACTTTGCATAAAGTCTAGGGAAAACTGGGGACCACATCTTGTTTATTGTGGATCAGGGTGAGAAAAAGCCTGTGAAAATGAGGAAGGCTCTGTTAGTAGCTCAGAAACACCAAGAGTAGAAAGATCTGAAGGAGAAGTAGGCATGTGCTGGGGTGGGTGCTCTGGGACTTTTGTCCTTTAGCCCCAGAGCTATGTAGCCATGGAAAAGAAAGCAAGACATGACAATTTCAGAGGTCATCACCAAGCACATAGAAAAGAAGGTCATCAGGAGTAGTCAGCATGGATTCACCAAGTGTAAGTCTTGCTTGACCAATCTGATAGCCTTCTATGATGACATGGCAGGATGGGTTGATGAAGGGAGAGCAGTGGATGTTATCTACATTGACTTCAGCAAGGCTTTTAACACTGTCTCACATAACATCCTGGTAGGAAATACAGGTTAGATGAATTGACAGTGAGGTGTATCAAAAACTGGCTGAATGGCAGAGCTCAGAGGAGTAGAATCCAGTTGGAGGCCTGTAGTCAGTGGTGTTCCCCAGGGATCAATACTGGGTCCAGTCTAATTCAACTTGTTTATCAATGACCTGGTTCAAGGGCTAGAGTGTTGCCTCAGCAAGTTTGCCGATGATACGAAGCTAGGGGCAGTGGCTGACAAACCTGAAGTCTGCGCTGCCATTCAGTGGGACCTTGATAGGCTGGAGAGAAACCTAATGAGGTTCAACAAGGGCAAGTGGAAGGTCCTGCACCTGGGTAGGAAGAACTCCAAGTACCAGCATAGGCTGGGGCCTGACCTACTAGAGAGCAGTTCAGCTGACAAAGGACCTGGGAGTGTTGGTAGACGATAAGTTAACTATGAGCTGGCAGTGTGCCCGTGAGTCAGAAGGGACAGGAGTACACTGGGGTGCACTGGGAGGAGTGTGGCTAGAAGTCAAGGGAGGTGATCTTCCCCTTCGACTCTGCTCTGGAGAGGCCACATGTGGAGAACTGTGTCCAGTCCTGGGCTCCTCAGTATAAGACAAGGAGCTACTGGAGAGGGTCCAAGGGAGGTTCACAAGGATCACCAGGGGTCTGGAGCATCTCTCTCATGAGGAGAGACTGCAGGAGCTGGGCCTGTTTACTCTAGAGAAGAGGAGACTGAGAGGGGATCATTAATTACATCATCACCATCCATGTAAATCAATACCTCAAAGGTGGATGCCAGGAGGATGGTGCCAGACTCTTTTCAGTGGTGCCCACTGAGAGGACAAGTAGAATAAACTAATATAGAAGTTTCACCTCAACATGAGGAAGAATGACTTCCTTTGAGGGTGGCAGAGCCCTGGAACAGGCTGCCCAGGGGGGTTGTGGAGTCTCCCTCTCTGGAGACATTCAAAACCCTCCTGGTTCCTGTGTGACCTGCTCTAGGTGGCACTGCCTTGGCAAAGGGTTGGACTGGATGATCTCCAGAGGTCCCTTTCAACCGTAATGATTCTGTGATTCTGTGAAGACCCCAGGTCACACCCATGTTACATCCTCTGGCTGGTTCACACTTGGAAGTGTTAGTATGGCTGAGCACCAGACCAGCAGAGTATTTTTAGAGGGCCTGTGGGCTTAAGCCACAGCCCAGTGCTGTTTCCCCCATATCCCTACCTCTAAGTAGAAGTAGTTATACCACCAAAACTGGGTTCCTGCAAGTCCCACTCCAAAGCACTGAAGTTAACACCTGAGCTTGGCTTGCAATAAGGATGTGGCATCCATAAGCCAGCTCCAAGAATCAGCTGCTCACTAGGCTAGAAACAGCTCAACAAGTTGCATGCTTCTAGGAGGTGCAAAGATACAAGGCAGAAGCCATCTGTGATCCTGGGTGTTCATGGCTCATATATATTCCTTCAGTGGGTCAGAAGACACAAGTGCAAAACTTAACTTGAGATCCCACCTCTGAACACTCAGCAAAGCTGCCGATCTACAGAGGTTCTCATTTTGTTTTAAGTGTCCTTAAACAACAAATTCACTGCACTTCCTTCTTTGTTTTTCCAGGACTCCTTACAAACAACAGAGAGAAGGTTTTGGATCACCTGTGAGGTGCTCTTAATTACAGCAAGCCATGACTATTCCATGGCACAAGCAGCTGAAAGCCCAGCCTGGAAATCTGTATTAGCAATCCTCAAGTAATAATGTGCAACGACTGGTCTTGGATTCCACGTCACAGTGTTTATCTGCTTGCCATCGTAGCTGAAAGCTAAAACCAAAGAGGTGGCTCTCACGCCAACGTTTGTTGCACTCCTTCACTTCACTCTCTGTTGTATGTCTCACTGCTTTCAACAGCTCACTTCTCTGCCTTGTTTGGCAACTCTCACAGATGTCATTGCTTTTTTGTCTTCCCATCTCTGTATTCCTTACAACTTTAATTTGAGCCTCAGCTTCAGAACCTCTCCATCTGCCTCATCACTTGTCTTCAGACAAACAAGACTATAGAGTCTCGCATGCCTCCAGAAGGCTTTACCACCAACCTACACCAGCAGAACACTGAACTCAGAGTCACACAGTACCTGACCTGGAAAGCATAAAGCCCGTGAGCACTACCAGCCAGCAGCTACAAGTTATTGTGGGTACTAAGCAGATGAACCTAAATGCTGGCTAAGCGCATGTAATGTATGGAGAGTGAGCTGCAAAGGGACATGATGCTCCCCATGCGTAAGAGTCACATGAGGAACGGTTCACAAAGGGAAGGGAAAGAGTGGGATGTAGCCTGTAGCCAACAGCCAGGAGAATGCAGAAAACACATCAATGTTCTGCAACTCTGCAAGCTGAGCCTGGGAATAGAAAAGCCAAAAAAATGGAAAAAAAAAAAAAAAGTAAAACCAAACAGACGGCAGGAGAAAGCAAAAAGCCTTACTCTGCAGGAACCAAAAGCCCTTACAGCCTCCCCAGCTGAGATATAAGCCACTCTGGAGGAAACAGCAGTAACCAAACTAGACAGTGAATGCAAATCCTTCACCTAGTGCAAGCTAAACACACTGGCTACAAGTCTGCAAAATTTTCAATATGCAAAGAATTTACATGAAAACAAAATGTGAGAAGGGACTGGAAAGCGCATTACCTTTGGAAGCTGCAGTCAAAATAGATCAATGTGTCTGGATGCCTATAAGCAGGCTAAAGAAACTAATAACCCAAAAAGCTAATAATCCAAACCCTAAAGGATCTTTGCTGCACAGTCACCTCAGTTCAGGTAAAGTCCAAGGTAACTGTTCTATTCTCCACTGATTCGACACTACCTCCAAGAAAGCACCTTAGATACTACCTTTAGCCCGATGTGTGAAACTGCTGGACTCAAAGCTGAGAGTCACCTCATAACTTTCAGGATTCAGCTATTCACTTTCAGCAACACTGAGGAAAGTTAACCAAGTTGATCAGAAATTTTGCACATTCGACACTGCCAGGCATGCAAGTCAGTCCTCACAGCAGACAGGCGAAGGAAAGAATAGGGCAGTTCTTCAGGCAAAGAGGGCAGAGGGTGGAAAGGGCACAGTGATGATGGGAAAAGTGCTCCCAGCAATGGTCCCCAAGCTGTGCTGACCCACAGGCAGCAATGCTGAATGAGCAGTGTGCTCTGGACAGCTCTGTATTGTCATCGAGTAACTTTTCTGCTTCCACATCACTCCACTCCTCTGCAGGGACCTCAAGGTAACACATGGCCAGCACGCCACACTTTGGGAACAACTACCCAAGAGACTTACTTTGTCTATTCTTTATTGAGGTCTGCTCTTCCTGGATTGTGGTGTCTGTGATTCTGGCAAAGGCAGTTGCTGTTGAACAGTACCCATGATGAACCAAATACGATGAAACCATACTAGAAAATAGAAAAATACAAACAGATGAGAGACATTGCTAAAACACTGGAGTGGTTTTCCAGGGTAATCCACTGGAGAAAAAAAAAAATCAACACAACAGAAATTGCAATTGCAGTGATCAAACTCAGCTTGCTTAGGATATAATTAGGGTTCAGACAAGTATAAATTTACAAGACAGGCACCTGTTCCTTAGCAAACAGGAGGGAGGCTCTATATATGCCTTACAGTGGGGGGGGGGGGGGGGGGGGAAGAATAATAAAAAATTAAGACTTCCAGTTCATACACGCTATTTATTTATTTCATGCCTGCTGTCCAGGGTCACTTAATAAGGGCTTAGTACTGCATCCAGTGACATACTATAGAGACATCACATCTGAATCTCAGAGAGGCTCATGGCTTTCAAGTACATCTCAAAAATAAAGGATTCTGTTCCTGAATTTCTTCCACCACTTATTTTGACAGCAATCATATCTCTGGTAGTTAAATCTCCTTATGAATTCTACACATTCACAGATACTTTATCTGCTGACTTACAACAAGCAGACCATCAGCACTGATTTTACAAATATTTTCACATTTTCAAGTTGTATTTAAAAAATTTGGGGGAGGGGGAATGGGGGGGGGGGGGGGGGAAGGAGGAGGCAGCATCACTGTAGAAAACAAACACAACAAACCATCTTTCTGAACAGACTGTTTCTAAAGCACTTCTGCTTCCCAAGATCTGGTGGCTAAATGTTAATGCTCACCAGATTTTAACAAAACCTAAAAAGCCAGCACAGCCTTTCAAAGCTTCTAGTGGTAAATATCAAAATAGGTTTCTCATGATGAAGCTGTTATTGATCTAAGTCACAGCTCAAAACTCATATCCAACTTGGCTACTCTCAGTACAAGAAAGAAGTATTTTATGAGTCAGCAATCATGACAGGCATAACATTGTAAGCATGTGTTCTATTTTTAAAATTGACTTTAAAAGCAAGTGCTTCTGACCAGGGTTGGTCCAAGACATGCCCTCTGCCCTTGGCATAGGACAGACAGGCAGACCTAACTGCATCCCTCTTGCTGTCAAGCACAGCACTCAGGTCATCCTGGCTCAGCCAGGCTGAAACACTGAACACCATGATCCAGGCTGGCAAGAGCGGAGGGAAAAAGGCAACTCTTACTCCCGTGTAATTCAGTAGCCAGAGTCAGGGGCTGCAAAGATTTAAATGCTCTACAAAGCTGCAAAAAACCAGTCGTTTTTACCAGGAAAAGGAAAAAACACTCAAGTGCTGCAGGAACCTGTGCTACCAAACATCCTAAAACATCTAAAACTAAGCTTGACAGACCAGTGCTCTCACCCACTGCAGATCCTTTTGTGTTCAGAGATGCAGGACACGCTTTTTTTCTGAAGAAGTCACCTTTTGAGCATTAGGAACTATGAATCATTTTAATTTAAATATCAGTTAAACTCTTCCTTCTCTTTGGCTGCTTTCCAAAGCAGAACTTGTCCTTCCAAAGCCTGACAAGATATGTTGCAAAGAACAAAATGACCCTACTGTGTCAACAGTTCAGTACATCAGAATGAAAGTGAAAGTTAAAGTCAATGCCAGTTGTTACATCTCATCCATGCTGGGTCAGACCAAACACCCTGTGGCCCAACACCTGGACTTCCTAACTGGCAAAAGCAAATGCCTAGGAAAAAATAAAGACATACACGAAATATACTTTTCCCTTCCAGCTCCCAATGATTAGTCAGATAGCTCCTATCCTAGTGGTGGACTCTCACCCCACTGTAGCTCTGATAGATTTTTCTTCAGTTTTCTTCCAGAAAAGTGACTTCTTCAGTCACTTTTTGGATCCACGCTGTTTTCATGGTATGTTATGGCAGAGAGTTTGAAAAAAACCCTCCTTTACTCTTTCTCAATGTGCTGTCTGGTTATCTTCACTTAAAATCATAGAATCAACTAGGCTGGAAAAGACCTTTAAGATCGAGGCCAACCTTTACCCCAGCACTGACAAGGCCATCACTAAACCATGCCACTAAGGGCCTCCTATGCATGGTTTGTGAACACTTCTGGGGACGGTGACTCTACCACTGCCCTGGGCTGCCTGTTTCAATGACTCACCACCCTTTGGAGAAGAAACTGTTCCTATTATCCAGTCTAAACCTACCTTGGTGCAGCTTGGGGCAATTTCCTCTTGCCCTATCCCTTGTTCCTTGGGAGAAGAGACCAGCCACATGCTGGCTACATCATCCTGCCAGGTAGTTGTAGAAAGTGATAAGGTCCTCCCTGAGCCTTCTCTTCTGCAGACTAAACCCCCCAGGTCCCTCAACCATCCCCCATCACACTTGTGCTCCAGACTCTTCCCCAGCTCCACTGCCATTCCCTGGACCCACTCCAGAACCTCAATGTCTCTCCTGTAGTGAAGGGCCCAGAACTAAACACAGGATTCAAGGTGTGGCCTCACCAGTGCCCAGTACAGGGGGATGATGACTGCCTTGGCCCTGCTGGCCACACTGGTGCTGATAAGAGGCCAGGGTGTTTTTGGGGTTCTTGGCTGCCTGGGCTCAAGTTGGTTCATGTTCAGCTCTGTCACTCAGCACTCTCAAGCCCTTCTCCACCAAGCGGTATTCAGCCACTCTTTCCCGAACCTGGAGTGTTGCATGGGGTTGTTGTGGCCCAAGTGAAGGAACTGTCACTTTGTCTTGTTGAACCTCATACCACTGGCCACAGCCCATTGACCCAGCCTGTCCAGATTTCTCTGCAGAGCCTTCCTACCCTGCAGCAGATCAACACTCCCACCCAACCTGGTGTCATTTGCAAACTTACTGAGGGGGCACTTGATCCCTTTGTGCTTCCTCAGTAAGTTTGCAAATGACACCAGGTTAAAAAGATAAAAGACATTAAACAGAACTGGCCACAGTACTAAGCCCTAGGGAACACCACTTGTGACTTGTCATCAACAAACTTTGGGCTCAGCTGTCCACCCAGGTTTTTATCCAGTGAAGAGTACACCATCCAAGCCATGAGTAGCCAGTTTCTCCAGGAGAATGCTGCTGGAAAGAGTGTCAAAGGTTTTACTGAAGTCTAGGTAGACAACATCTACAGCCTTTCCCCCATCCACTAAGCAGGTCACCTTGCCATAGAAGGTCACATGCTGACCTTTAATTCTTGCAGTACAATTGTTTCTTCATCACCTCCTAAAGGGTACTCAACACATTTATTTCATACTTCTGTCTTACCACTCACAACCATATCCTTTGATGCTGTATATTTGCTCCCTGCCTTATACCCACCCCATACCCACCCACCCCATGTGCAAAGGCAGATCCTACTTTGGGTATTTTTTTCATGCTCTTCTCACTTCTATTACATATTTTTGGAGAGAAAGAACCAAAACATCACATTAATGGTACACTACATATTCACACAGTGACAGAATTATCTTTTGGCCTCTGTATTTCCCATGACAAATCCTTGCATTACTCATTTTCCCCTGCTTTTTACCAAAAAAAAAAAAAAAAAAAAAGAAAAAGAAAAAGGAAGGGAGCTGACATTTCTGTGTAATGAGTCATCCTATCCCCAAGATCTCATTCTTTCCTGAAGAGTCTCTTCTTCCCATCCATCTCTTAACATCCTCAACACCACAGACACTACCGGCATGCATTCAAGTCTCTTTACAGTCTCATTAACCCAAAGTAACAACCCCTTGCCCAATCATTCTCTCTTTTGCCTCTTAAACAACTCATAATCAACTCCGGACATTAGCCTCTGGCTGCATAGTCCCCCCTTAGTTTACAGCAAGGGAACTTCTCAAAAGCCTTTTGGACTTTCAAGATGAAGACAGCAGCCCAACAACCATATCAATGTGTCTGCAGGCTCCTCTTTGCAAAACCCACATCCTATTTCTCCATGTGCCCAACACATCTACACTTCAGTAGTGCTTTTACATGTTTGTCCAACCCAGACATCAAGGTTCTCTCAGCCATGAGAGACCCAAGGTTCTCTCAGCCAAGAAACACGGCAGCTCTTCTGAACTCTGAAACCCTTCATGGAACATGGCATCATACACACCATCCTCCCCTTCTCTTAACCCTACACAGTTTGGAGAGAAACTCTGCTCCACCGCTACAAGTACACCAGTTTTCTCCTTGAGTCTCTTTAGGACTCTAGGCAAGTATCTGATCCCACGGACTTTCTTTACTCACCTATTTCTTCCAGTGCTTCTTTGACAGACACTTCAATCCCAGACACAGGCTCTGCCAAGTTCCTCACAAACAAGCATTCCAGTATGACAACCTACCTGATTTCTGGACACACAGGCAAAGAATTCAACTGCATATGGTCTTATCCTCCACAAGGTCTCTTTTTATACTGCAGTCTTCCTACAGGCCCTACAAAATCTCTGGCAGGCCTTCTGCTCCTTATTTTCATAAAGAAAGGTATTATTGTTACTATTCTTATTTTCAATAGCTTTGGCTAGTTGTTTTTCAAAGGTTTTGCTGGCTGCCCCGAATTATCTGCAAGTAACTAAATACAACACTAACAGAAAACAAGAACGATCACATGGATGCAATCATCACTGCATCTAAGCCTCCTGGATCACAGAGACCAGTATCAGCTGTTTAGGGAAAGAATATAATAAGAAGGTGAAATATAGAGCTCTCTGTAATCAGAGACAGAACCAACAGCAACAGACCTGGGGGTTTAAAATACCACCATGGAATTGGTCTCCATGAATTACTGTGAATACTTAGATACTGTGTATCTGAAAATCTACTTATACCTATACTCCCACTACTTCTTGCAGCGGCAAGTCCCAGAGTTTCAGTGAATATGAAAAAATGTTTTTAAGTGAGGAGATGTTTTTTCTCTAATTCCTGTGGTTTGAGAAATAGCGAATAATCACTTTCTAGTCATGCCCTTCATGGTGTGAATGACTGACAACAGACAACTACAGTCCACCTTCCTCAATTACCTGTTTCCAAGCTGTGGAGCTTTAGTCAGCTGGGTCTTTCTTCAGATAGAAGATATTCTTGACTTCTGACAACTCTTGTTAATTGTTCTCACCAAGTTCCACTCACTCCTTTTTGCCATTCAATATTCATACATTTACAAAGTGCCGTAACTGTGTCTTCAGTTAAGTTGGGTTTGGAAGCCTCTGGTTTAGGCTATTCCTTGCTCTTTCATTTCTCAATTCAGCTGACTTACATACTGGCTTTTCTGCTATGTTAAAGAGTTTTTATGGTGTCCTTTCCACCCCTTTCCCCCTGTGATCGCTTCAAAGTGTATCTTCTCCCATTCCTACAAGCTTTCATGCAGTCTTTTGCTGAAAACTTCTCCCATATCTTTTACATTAGAAACAGCAGCAATCTACATAGGAAAGACTATCAAACAACAAAACAAGAGGGTAAAATAACTTGAGCAAAATGCACTGCCTGGCAATTTTTGCCATAAGAAATAAATTAGCATTATAAGGTATTTACAGCCTAACAGAACGGAGGAAGCTGAACACCAAACAGTGACTTACTTCTGCAGCATGGCTTGCCACTCGCCTAGTCTGTCTCCTATGGGAAACCGCTTAATGGTGCTCTGAATCTTCGCTTGCCACTCCCTCATGTAGTCCTCAATGTCGAACACAAATGGCTGCTGCCCAAAGTTGGCATCGACTATCTCTCCTGGAGTCTGGAGACCCACTGTAGGGTAGAGATTTGACTGGGAAGGAAGAAAAAAAAACCCTCTATCAAACCCAGCCTTCTGTTCCAGTTACACAGTTTGATAAGACAGAAATGCTGCTCTTTACATTGAACAATATACTGGAGTGCGGAGGGGCAACAGCCCTTCAGGAACCTCTCAAGGAACCCCACAACTTACTGTGCAGTTATTGAAAACCATTGCATAAAATTATAGAGCCATGGGTTCAATCTCCCAGCAGTCAGTGATTGACACAACGGCTGCTGCCCATGGCCTGTCCACTTCCTGGCTTAGTTTCCTATGCAATTTCTACCAAAATTCATGAGCCAGCAGCTAATAATAATAGTAAGAAGAAGAAGACTAACAACAAGAATAATAAAAATGGAGGGTGCATTATGTCAATCAACAGATCTATGTGTTCTTCATTTTTTCTTTAATAGATTTCTCTTATTTCTTGGCAGCCGTTCTTGGAATATTTTACATCTCTGATGACAAGGGAATGGCTGGTAATGGAGCTCTGAGGTTAAGTCTTTGATGGCCCCAAGACAGCAAGTCATTCACACAAGAAATTCCATTGCTGATAGATGAATTTCATTTTAAGAACAAGCCTACGGATCCAAATGTAAGCTTTCACTCACCACCAGAATATGGAGAAAAAATTACCGCCGTGAATAGACCTCTAAAATTCAGCCAGTAATTCTGCTTCCAAAGATGATCTAGTTGAGAATAGGTAGTCAAAGTCTATCCAGAAGTTCCCTGAATTCAAGCTCTTTTAAGTTTCTGGATACAAATTGAATCCCTGAGCCACTTAAACATGGGGAAAAGAGAAATGGCATCAGAAGAGGTGTAGGGAGGGGCGCCTGGTTCTCATACTCTGGACCACATTTTCTAAGAACATGTTCCATTCACTGTCATGTTACTTTTCTGCAGCACAAATTACTTTTTTGTATGCAACATAAACTTGACCAATCCTCTGCTTCAGAGCATCTGCTATAGCTTGCAGGGTTCAGGGAAAAATTTCTCCCATGCCGCCCACTCACTTGGGTTTTCTCACTTTGCTCTGACACGCTGGATATCAACCAAGCCAGAAAACACACTGGGTAAGGCACATGGATGTCTGCAGTGGAATTAGAGTCTGGAAGGTGCCTGGCTGTTGCTCATGGTGAAACCCGTGTCAGACATTAGATCAGCAGAAGGGCAGACCTCTCCCTCTAGGTCAAATCAGCAAGATCTACTACTGCGGGATAAGCGGTCATCCTAAAGAAAGGCCAAGTTCTCTCCTCCTCTATAGTAAGGGGCGTGGGTTTCCCTGCAGTTATCTGGAACATTTATTCAACTTTTCACTATTGCAGAGACCTGAGACACTGGCAATGTCACTGACTGCCCCTTGAAACCTTGCTGTGGATTTTACTTTATACTAATGTATTAACGTAGCAGAACTCAGCAGAATCCTAATCCCATTGGCAAAAATGAAGCCAGCATGTTTTGGGAAGCAATACTTCTCTTTGCTTTCGCTGGCATGGCTACATCTGCAGTATCATACCTGGTTCTCCACCTCCATATCGACATCCCCAGGACAAGAAAAATGCACAAATGGGGCCCAGCAGGGTTCTGCTATGAGGGTAAAAGGGTTGGAGTGCACAGCACATAAGAAGAGGCTGAGGGAATGACTCTGGAGAAGACAAAGGGGAAAATCTAACTGCAAGTCTTCCATTCCAAAAGGGAAAACATAACTGCAAGTCTTCCACTCCAAAAGGGATGTGATAAAAATGATGGAAACATATTCTTCTCAAGGGTGTTCAGTGAAAGGACAATGGGCACAAGCTGCAGCCAGGGAAATTTTGGCAGGACATAAGAAATAAATTTTTCCTTGTAAGGATGATTAAGGACCAGAACAGGTTTCCAAAGAGACTGAAGTACTTCTGTCCTCTGAGATTTTCAAAACTCAACTGGATAAGGTCCTGGCCAAGCTCCTCTACCTTTGAAATGATTGAATCTCAAAAAAAAACAAAGGAAAAAACATGAATATACAAATAGAGGCTGGAAATGAAAATGACCATATCATTGCTGACTCAGCACACCTCCTCCTTTCCTATTCTTACACCAAGGAAGTTGCTGGGTTAGAGGTGTGTGAAGAAAACAACAGCATGGCACAGAAGAGCTAACAGAGGAAAATGCTGTGTTTAAAGTCAGCCTCTCCTCTTTCAAATCTTGCTGACAAGGAAATATCTGTAACGAGGGATCAGATCTTTTCCACAGTCCATAATATCAGCTTGTTTATTAACTTAGCTTTTTAGTATTATGAAACCAAGGACATCCAAAGTCGGGAATCAAACGCCCATAATACCCGGAAGTTGGAAATAAAAATCCTCAAGTTACAACACATCACATATTTTTCAGCCACTTTGGGGTGTGTTCATCTTTGAGGGGAAGCTGCCCACCTGAAAGTGCTCTCAAATCACCTCCAAGTTAAAATTCCATTTTTCACATGTGAGAAATGTCCTCTATGGTTAGCAGAAGTTGGAAACTACACATATCTTCACCACCCTGCCAGATGCAGGGAGACATCACTCCAGAGCCCACTGACCAGGCAGATGCTTCTCCTGCCAAGATCTTCAGACCTTCCCTGTAACATCTGGAGCACCTCTTGCCTCTGACGTTGGTTAGCTGCTCACAGCTTCCTAGTTCATTTTGACTTGGGTTTTTAACCTCCTTGTGCCTTTGCACCCCTGCAATCCCCCTGGGCTCTTCCACATCCTGCTTTTCCGCATTTCAGCAAACAGCCAGGCAGGATGAACCTTATATGGGCTTGTGTAAATAAGACAGTTGGGCCCCAGGACTGACTTAAACTGGTATAAAAGGGGAAAAATTCCTGTGTGGGATATTCCCTTCTATTTGCAAGCAGTTATTTTTCCATTAATTTCAGCCTATGCCAATGCCACACAGTACTTTCATAGAAACGCAAAGACTCTTTAGAGGGAATTGAAAAAAGCTGAAGCAAATACATTTCACCGTGTGTGGCTTATCACAACAAAATGTGGCTTTCAGCTGAAAGTATCCATCCCAACTTCCTAATATTGTGAATACTGCAAAATATTGCCTTCATCATTTGCCTCAAAAAGAGGAATTTTGCAACAAGCACTTCAAGGAAACAATTTCTACACTGGTATAGTGTTTTGAAGGGTCAAATTAACTCTTTGTGTAATCTCACAGACACGTCAACCCTAAAAGTTATTTAAGCTTAAAAGGTGTAAAATTGATGGGGTCTACTAGCTAAGCTTCTCACTGATGTGTACTACCAGTCAGCTTCATCACATTGGCTTGAATATAAGAAAAAACCTTCCGCCTGCAGCTCCTTCCTGGGGGATTTCAGTAATTAGCTATGGAACAGAACCAGAGCCAAAACTGTATGTCAAGCTGCTCAAAGCAGAGAACCTCAAGGTCACCCAGGTGGGGCTGCTGCTTCCATTCCTGCTTCCAGTTCAACTTTTAGACTGTGGCTTTAGCAGGTGAAGAACACAGATTACGTTGCATAACTTTCATAAAATGGATGTTCCCTCTTCTTTACCTTACACATGTACATTGTGTTCGAGTCTGGGTGAAAAATACCGCTTGCAAGTTAGACCAGCTTCCAATTCCCTACTACCTCAAGACTTCTACAGTCTCTACAATAGTGATTATATTTAAACCAAAAGACTGTCTTGGTTTTGGTGTTTCCTTCTTCAGGAAAGGGCAGCAACCAGAACTGACTGGAAGAACAACAAGGAAGCCATGCAGCACCAAGGGAGCAAAAAGGGCCAGAAGAGGACATGGAATAGAGAGGTGCCTTAAAGGGTGAGGCAAGAAGGCAGGAGTTCAAGGGAATGATATTGGAAAAAGGTAACGGGACTGAAAGAAGTCACATGCAGCCAACATAGCAGCTGGGTCATTTTGCACATGAAGAGGAATGTCCAAAACCCACACTGGGGCAGAAGTCTGCTGCTCTTGCTCACACCCATAGTCAGGAGGTGAAATGACCCACTCAAGTGTCTCTAACCTTCTTTTTAAAGAGAAATTATCTCAGAGAGGATAATTCTCAATAACAGGAGGCCAATAGGGCCACTATTCTCTTTCCTGGCCAAGAGTAACAGTTATGGATGAGCTGCTGCTGTAAAAGCCAGAAGGAGATTTCCATATCAAATAGCTCAGCAAACAGGCTGGTAAAAGGCAGAGAGATACTCTTCAACCATTAGAGACCCTGTCACAAGGCATTTGAATAGCTGATCTCCAAAACGATCTGATGAGGTCTTCTTCCAGTTTACCACTAAACCAGCATCTCCTCTGCACAGGACACACAGAGAAGCACAAGACCCTGTAAGGATGATCTGGTGAGATCAAGAAACAGCAGTATGGGGGATGCCCTGGGCTCAGTGAGCCTGGGCACCAAGCTGTATTGACAGCTGATGTGAAAAGGCAAATTAAATAACTGGAACATCTTTCAGCACAGACACAGACTGGGATATGGGAGAGATCGGTAAAGTGGGAAATCCCATTGCAAAGGTGAACAGGGAATGCTAGGCATTATTTCTCATGACACAAAACTTAGAGGAACAAAACTGTTTTGGCAGGAGGTGCCAAGCGGAGAAGAACAAGCTTTCCTCCACACAGTGCAGAAGTCAGCCAAGCAAATAAGCACTTTTGAGGCCTAAGTTACGGAAACTAAGGAATTCCTCAGAGGAAATTCACTTAGGGTTATGAATTACAAAGACAGGAGTGCAACCTCAAAGACAGAAAGTTCTTTGTGTGAGGGAAATGGGTGCAGTGGATGCATTGGTGTATGCCTGACCTCATTTTATCTTGTCTTCCTAAACATCTGCTCTTTGTTCAGGAACACTTGAGCCCAAAAAAGAGCAGCCACGGTTTTGCTCATGACCCACTGCGAAAATCGTGCTTTTCTGCATTCTGACTAGATGCTATTGCCTGGTGTAATTCAGCTGCTGTCACTGCACCCAAGAGTAGCTTGATACTAGCTGGTGAGTCAGAGGAGTAACCATCAGCCCCACATGGATGCCAAATACATTCCTCCAGTGATTCCATGAGGTGGTTACTCATTGTGAGAGAAGGCTTGTCAAAAACCTGTGTGACGAGCACGCATGCTACAACCAACCTGCTGATGGGCCGTATGAGAGGCTACTCAATGGCTTTGCACATACACTCCCCATAGTTGAATCTGCATTGGGAAGATGTTGACGTGTAATGAAGTTGAATCCTAGCTTTAATTCCAGAAGGATTCCTCACCCTCTGAAGGTCATGAGGGATGAGAGAAGGCATGTGAATAGTCCACAAACCCAGGCACAGGATTACAAGGTCACAGAAAAAGAAGCATCCACATCGTTCAGTAATGCTTTACCATTTCATTAACAAGGTATCAAACACAATCACACACACACACACACACACACACACACACACACACTCTTCCCCCTCCCTTCTGTTTGCATCTGTAGTTAAAATACTGAAAAGAGGTGTACTTACAGGGAGGTCTGTAAAGGCTATACCTGTAGGGGGAAAAATATTAAAATTAAAAAGACAAAGGATTTTCTCCCTGCTAGGCTACATCCTTAACATGGTACAAAACGTTGCTGTGTTTCAGTAACTCTCAGCTCTGACCCTGCTCTTCACGAGCTGCTGTATCTAGACGTAACTTCCCTCCCCAGACTCCTCCTCTGCAAGGTTTTGTATCTGGAGAAAGGTTTAGGGAAAAGCCTAAATGTTTCCGACATCTGCCCCAAAAATTTGATTTTCTAAAAGGCAGCTCCTCTTTTTTTTGCTTGTCCCTCTTCACTCCCTTGTTACTACGAAGGAACTGTTTTCAAGACTCACTTTGGCTTTACAGAGTTTTACTGTAACACTGATTCGATTTAGGCTATAACTAGCTCTTACTAGCCAGAGGACAGAAATGAACATTCAAAACTTTGCATTACTGCTGGGGAACAGCCTTGCAACAGGACCCAAGAGCACCTGAGAAATAGTGTGTCGAGAACAGTTCTATTCTAAACTACACTGCTACAGTTCCAAATAGAAGAAATGGAAATGAAGTGTATAGTTTCCCTTTTCATTTACATTTAGCATGCCAGAAAAGAGATGCTGAGACAAAGGCAGGCACTGCCTAGGATGGCTGAGAGAGTTGTGGCCAAAGACAACGCCTAGCTAGTATCAGGCTATCCCCATGCACAGCTCCACAATGCTCTGCATCTGCAAGGCCAGGAGGTCAAGGGACGAGATTCTGACCCTCTACTGTGCTCTGGGGAAACCCCCCCTGCAGTACTGCATCCAGCTCTGGGGCAACAACACAAAAGGGATGTGGAGCTGCTGGAGCACATTCAGAGGAGGATACAGAGATGTTGCCAGGGCTGGAGCAGTTCTGCTCTGGAGACAGGCTGAGAGAGCTGGGCTGGTTCAGCCTGGAGAAGAGAAGGCTCCATGGAGACCTCAAAGCAGCTCCAGTGCCTAAAGGGGCTACAAGAAATCTGGGGAGGGGTTTTGAGCAAAGGCCTGTAGGGACAGGACAAAGGGGAATGGCTTTAACCTGACAGAGGGAGATTGAGATGAGATTTTAGGCAGAAGTTCTTCCCTGTGAGGGTTGTGGGGCCCTGGCATTGGTTGCCCAGAGAAGCTGTGGCTGCCCCATCTCTGGCAGTGTTCAAGGCCAGGCTGGATGAGGCTTGGAGCAACCTGGTCTAGTGGAAGATGCCCCTGCCCATGGCAGGGGGCTGGAACTGGATAAGCTTTAAGGTCCCTTCCAACCCAAACTACTCTGTGATTCCATGAAATATTTACTATTTTATACAGCACAGATTGAAAATGAAATTATCAGAAAAAAAAACCATGAATATTTTACTAAATAAATAGCCAACATGGTTTCATTATCATGATGGCAGCCTGGACCTTGTCCCAGTGAAACCTACTCTGTGATTCTATAAATAAAGTTATTACATTGCCTTTAAATTAAGGCATTTGTATGTTTTGCACTCTGTTACATAACTAAGTCAAATGAAAGTTTAAAGCCATTCTCATTTATCCTAGCACTACCTGTCCTTGTAAAAAGTGCCTCTCCAGCCTTCTTGTCAGCCCTCTCTAGGTACTGGTCTCCCTCCTCTCATCTATTTCTCTCTCTTTCCCTCCCAGTTCACACTCATCCCACTTCTAGCCACATCAGATCATGTTTTTTACTGCTAGGACTCTGTTCAGAACTTGTCGAAGGCATTTTATCAGCAGCCAGAAAACTTTCAGGGCATATTCCATAACAGGGAATTAATGTATGATGTCGAACAGTTTTTGTGGGATGTCTCCAGACTTCAATACTTAGCTTCAACAAGAACATCCAGAATTTGGTAGAAAACAGTTCTTATACCATGCTCCTGATAGATCTGATTAAACAGAAAAATACGGAGACAATGGAACATCATGGTTAAGCAATGGAAGAAAGTGTAAGGAAAACAAAAGGGGGGGATATCTAATTAACATATGAAAACGAGAGGGTTGAAAAGGCAAGAGAGAAATGGTGAAGAGAGAATAACATCTTTAGGGAAAGACAAAGTTACTGCAATTCTGCTAAAAGTGGCAAATTCAAATGCCCAGAGGCAGGGCACTGGAAACCTGCTGTCAAGCTAACTGGCACCACAAAGAGGCTGACTGTCTTGTGATTATTTCTGATATCTGCAGCAGTATTACACAATGATCTCATTCCTTAAGAGGAGACATATACAGCTTCAGGGGCTTTATGCCAGGGAACATCGAGAAAAAAGCACATTCATCCCTTTCCAGGTAAACCTTGGGTTTACACAACCCAGAAATGAGATTCTCAGGTTAGCATTAGGTATTATGAAACATTCAAAATCTTCAAGGATATGCTTCCACCAGTGCAGAAAGCATTCAGACTTTCAAATAAATCATTGTTCCTGCCTCCATCTGCTCTTGGTTCGTCTGCTGACATCTGCCTCACCTCCTCTCTTAAGTCTATCTGTTCTGTGCTGGTAAGAAGCTGTGTAAGAGATTGATTTGTGGCCCATGGGACTCTTCTCCTCAGCATTCACTGAGAAGCACTATCTTGAATGCTGTGTTTCTTTATCAGTGGCACCACTGGCACTTAACAACAGTCTTCCTGGCTGAAGTTTTCTTTTTTTGTAAAAAGACAGTAAAATGTTGCAGCAGCTTTTGTTGGGTCTGCCCAGCAATGAGTCTGCTACTCCCTTGTACTTCCTTGTAATTCCATCACTCTGTCTCCTCTAACCACATCATCTCTCCTCTCTGAGTACAACCATTATGCCACTACAGCTCAAAGAGAAGCTGGTACATGAATGAGCCAGTTGTGAACTCTCAAGAGAGTCTCCTACCTGTAATCTTCTCATACATCTCAGGTCTTGTACCATACATGTGAGAGCCGAAGAGAAGGAAGACTCCTTGCGCTGTTCTCTAAGCATACTGTAACTTAAGCTCTCTAAGCATAGTGTAACTTAATTCCCTTCCTTTCCTGTTTCTTCCCACTGACATTGCTCACTGCTGGGGTAGGCTGCTCACCGAGGGATCATTCAATGGCACATTAGAAAACACAGCTTTTCACCCCAAAAACCCATCTTTAAAGAAAAAGTAGCACTAAAAATGAAGAAAGACGAGGTAACTTCACTTCTATAAAGATCTCCAAATGTTCATTATTTTGTCTGGGACAAAAACAAAAAATAAAAAAAATCCAGGTCCAGGACATCAGGCAAAGAATTCGAGTATGGTAATGACACTGAACCATGCTCTGTGCTTGGCTTCCTATGCCCAGAGACCCAGGTACAGGACAGCCTTAGGAACAGAACAGAGGATGGAGCAAGGGACAATTTCTAGAACACCCTTTCTACTATTCTACACACCCCTGGTCACTAAAAAGAAATTAAATTTCAAACAAATCTGTATTCATTAAATAGAAGACCTGGCCTCTTCCTGACTGTTATGCTTTCACTGCAGTCAAAAGCAACAGCACTGTCAGGTTGAAAAATGGTGAAGCTGGAAAACCACACCCTCCAACAAAGGAAAACAGCAAGCATGAGCCACTGCACTACTTTTGTGTAAACACACACTAAACATTAAGGACAGCAACTAAAAGGAGAGATTTTGTGAAACCTTTTTAACTATTTCAGTGTCTTAGCCTCTGTTGTATGGAGGAACTTTTCTCATTCCGAAGCAAGAGTTCCCACTCAACACCATCAGCAGTTGCTTTCACACCTCTGCTTGTCCTCCCAGCTCTTGACTGACAAGGGCAACATCCATAGATCATAAATTAAATTTAGAACAATCCAGGTAATATAAATCCGGGCTATTAACTAATACTTACAGACTAGAAATGACTCCTAGTGTCTTCACTAGTGACTGATCGCACCAGGTAGTAAACTACAAGTCTTCACCAGGATGTCCCCAGCATCACACATGGTCTGACTGATAAACAGTTATAATTTCAAAAAAGAAGTCAGATCAAACACTTAACTCTCAGAAACTCCGCACTGGGATCCTGATTGAGGCTCCATTTATAGAACTAAAATGTTAAAAACAAGTCCCAAAGGATGCTCAAAGAATGGAAACCTCCTAACCTCTTACAAAGCATCAGGACTAGTTGCTGAATGCAGGGTCACAAACTTGAGAATGCTTCTCAGAAGGCATGCGCCTCATTTCCAGCCAATCATCAAACAAATACGGGGTACAAAACTAGAGGAAAACAGAAAACAACTCTCCACAAAAAGTTCTTTCTGCAGAAGCAACAGACCTCCCTGCATCTACCTCAAAGGAAGGATTCATCTTGAGATTTGAGGGTGCAAAGCCCACATCTCAGATCCGTATCTCTGATACACCTCTAGTATAGTGTGCTGCCTTCAAAGAATCACACACTGGCTGAGGTTGGAAGCATCATGATCTAGTCCAACTCCTCTGCCCAAGCAAGGCCATCCACAGCTGGTTGCCCAGAACCATGTCAGATGGCTTCTGAAAACCTTCAAGGAGACTTCATGACTCCACTGGGCAACGCATGCAAATGCTCAGTCACCCTCACAGTTAAAGTGTCTCCTGATGTTCAGAGGAAGCCTCCTGTGTTTCAGTTTTTGCCCATGGCATCTCATCCTGGCACTGGGCACCACTGAGTAGAGCCTGGCTCTGTCTGCTTTGCACCCTTCCTTCAGGTATCTGCACATATTGATAAGACCCCCCCAGACCTTCTCAGCTGAACAGCCACAGCTCTTTCAGCCTTTCCCCTCCTTGGACAGTTCATAGAATAACAGTGGTTTGAGTTGGAAGGGACCTTAAGGCTCATCCAGTTCCAACTCACTTCCACAGGCAGGGACACCTGCCACTAGACCAGGTTGCTCCAAGCCCTGTCCAAACTGGCCTTGAACACTGCCAGGGATGGGGCAGCCACAGCTTCCCTGCGCAACCTGTGCCAGGGCCTCACTACCCTCACAGAGAAGAACTTCTGCCTAAGATCTCATCTCAGTCTCCCCTCTGTCAGATTAAAGCCATTCCCCATTGTCCTGTCTCTACAGACCCTTGTCAAAAGCCCCTCTCTAGCTTTCTTGTAGCCCCTTTAGGCACTGGGAGCTGCTGAAAGGTCTCCTGGGAGCCTTCTCCTCTCCAGGCTGAACCAGCCCAGCTCTCTCAGCCTGTCTCCAGAGCAGAGCTGCTCCAGCCCTTGCAGCATTTCTGTGTCCTCCTATGGACACGCTTCAACAGCTCCATATCCCTCTTGTGTTGTTGACCCAGAGCGGGACATAGGACTGCAGGGGAGAGTCTCCCCAGAGCACAATAGAGGGGCAGAATCCCCTCCCAGTCCCAGATGCTTCAGTCCTTTCAGCATCTTGGCAGGCCTTTGCTGGACTCTCTCCAGCATGTCCATCTCTCTCCAATACCAGGATGCCCAGTACTTTTCCCAAGAGCTCACCAGAAATTACACACTCTCCACCAAACTCCAATCCCACTCCTTCCTTCAGCCCAGCCAGTAACTCAAAACAACTTTTGTTCTGTTGAATGCTTTAAGTGTGGTATTTTTCTACCAGTTACTTCATCTTGAATTCAATGAAGTAGAACTGACACAGCAACGAGAAGCAAAGGAGTGCTTGTCCCTGCCCAACCAAATGAATTCCAGCACAAAAAGCAATACGAACTTATCAAAATATACTGCATGTCTTATGTGACAAAAAAAAAAAAAAAAGACAAGAATTTGTCTGGAGTGGAGAATATGTCATCCAAGTGAAAGATATTTTAAGTGAAAATGGTCACCAGTTTTTATTTCAGGCAAATCAGATATGACAGATGCCTGGAAAACATCTGTAAGAGATTCCTTTGGGCAAAGTTCTGAAGTCCTTAACTTTAGGGGAAATACTGAAACAGCTGTGGAATGAACCAAGTTGTAGGTCAGTGCTTAAAGTAAGACTTCTTAAGCTAAATTAATGTCCAGCTTTGGGAACGCTGGGACCGATGTGTTAAGGCTCATTTTAAAAATGAAAAGACAGTGGTACAGTGGCTTTGCAGGTAGTTGAATAATACACTAACTAAACTTACCACTTCTTTATTTCTCTGTTGCCCAGCCATTTGTCATCTGATCCAACCTCCCCTAGATGTGCAGTAGCAGAGGAAAGGAGCAGAAGCTGGGGATGCAATTCTAACCTACTTCAACAGATGGAGCAGCACAAAACCCTTTCACATGCTGAAATTTCTGTCTTGCAGCCAATTTACAACTCCTGACTGTGGCCCAGAGCTGTTTTTCTCTCCTATTCTATAAATGGGGAACAAGTGTTACAACACATGCCAAATATTAGAGTAACCAGCAACAAGAGCAGGACAGAAGCATCCCTCTCCTGAGAACACCTTTCTTTATTTACCTAAGCTATGGCCATTTTTTGTGTAGAAGCAGGTGTTGTTGATAAGGTTGACACAGCAGCCAATCACATCTCCAGTGGTGAACGTAGGGCCATAGGGCTGTCCTGTCCCCGAAGAGCAGAAGGAGTGCCCATCGTCCCCATGGTACCCATAGGAATGTTTATCCCATCCTGCACAAGACAAGACAAAAGAGCCAGTCAGCAGTGAAGCCATCTCAGCTGAACAACACAGCAGTGATAACCTCAGGACACAATTTTCTGGGAGGAAATTCAAAATTTTTAATCCTACTCCTGATTCTTCCCAATATTAACTTTCACATACCAGTACTTGAAAAGTCATAAATCATAATACATCAATTAGGTTTCAACCTCATTTGTCCCTTATGACAAATAATTAAAGGGACACTGCAAAAAGTAATTCTGACACAGATTTTTTTTTGTTTTAAAAAGCTATTTCTGTTTTATCTTGTCTGCAGTGAAACAAGCTTCTCATTGTAAAACACTTGTGTTTCCCACTAACACCATCTTCCAGCAGAAGCATTTAACAAAATAATTCTCAGCCAAGTGCAGCATTGTCTGCTCACAGGAATAGCCCAATGGCCAGAGGCACCTTTTGCATTCTCACATTTACATTTCCCTTCCAACAGCTGATAAGGATTTCTGTGTTCCCCTTGGGTGGTGACATTTCCCATTCTGTGGACATTGTACAGCACAACCCTCAGCTGGCAATTTTAAAAGTGGTCAATTCTAACATAAATATATTTTATTCTTTCTGCCAGTAACACTGTACCACGGTTACAGCTGGGGTCAGTGTCGTGGTTTAAACCCAGTCAGGTAATTCGTTCGCTCACTTCCCCCCCCTTTCTTGCCCTCCCCCTGCTCTCGGAGGGACGGAGAGGAGAATCGAAAAGAATGCAACTCCCACGGGTTGAGATAAGAACAGTTTAGTAACTAAGGTATAACACAAATCACTACTGATACCACCAATGATAATAATGATAAAGGAAATAACAAGGGAATACAACACCTCACCACCAGCCGACCGATAACTTGCCCCCCCCAGCCCCGACCAAGCACCGACCGATACCTCCTCCAACCCTGCAGTCTCCCAGCCCTTCCGGCTAACTCCCAGTTACATCCTGGGCATGACGTGCTGTGGTATGGAATACCTCTTTGGTCAGTTTGGGTCAGGTGTCCTGTTTCTGCTTCCTCCTGGCTTCCCCTCCCCCCTGGCAGAGCATGAGGCTCACAAAGTCCTTGGCCAAACCAAAACATCACTATCAGCTCTGTTCCCAAGCTGAAAGTCAAAACACTGCACTGCACCAGCTACCAAGAAGGGGAAAAATGACTGCTACTGCTGAACCCAGGACAGTCAGGCATACCATTCTGCCCACACGCCCTTTTCCACACTTCACAATAATTCCACCATGCCAAGCTCCTGGTTTTGTTCTGATCTACCCCAGTTCTCTTGTAGATTCTTTCGTGAATTTCCTACATGTAGAAATGCCAGATATAACTGGTAACTACTGCAAAGAAGAGAGATTAATCCATCTTTTAAAAGTGGAAGTGTTCTTCAGGCAATACACTGGTCTTCTCTTTTCAGGACTCCCATCTCCCTCTAGCAGAGGAGAGTGCTCCCACAGCTGTGGCCAGAGTGATTCAGTGAATGCCAACTGAATTTACTAACCATGCCTGTGCCAACTTCAGGTGCCACTATTGCTCAATATGGCTTATCCCTGACTCTCTTAGGAGACCATATAGGTAGAGACTCCTATGTAGCAGGAGACTATGGCAGGTGAGGAGTCATAAAAGCGTAGAATGGTTTGGGTTGGAAGGGACCTTGAAGCTCATCTAGTTCCACCCCTCTTGCCATGAGCATTGACACCATAGAGTTCCGAGGAACTGTCTTATCAGAGAGTTTAAAGAAAGCACAACACACTGCCATTAAAAGATTTCTGAAAAGAATCAGGACCCTTCCAGCCCTTTATAGTGTTCCTATGGACTACACAATCAAAACCACATGGCACAGAGACACGAGCTTCTATCAGAAAGCCTAAGATAGACGCAACATTAATAACAACCACCTGTGTTTTAAACAGATAGGTCTGGGTCCTTAGGCAGACTGTGCCAACTGAAGTGGAAGCAAAAGAAGGTGCTTTGAGAGTGCACTGACCGTGTACAACCTGAGGGTAGTGCAGAATCTGTTAATCTGGAGCAATGGTCTTGGCAAAAGGACTAGATAAAAAATGCAAAGACCAGGCAACGAGAGGGGTTAAAAAGTAGAAGGCAAAAAAAGACTGAGCACTGCAAAGCCCAGAGAGCAGCCTGGTGAAGGTGGGCTGGAACACTCCTGCAAGCCAGGACTTTCCTACAAAGACAACAACCACCTGAGGGCACTAGAAATTTAATCCTGTAAAATGGTGCTCAGTTACATGCACTCAGATGTCTTCATCAGCTGACTTACAGCCTCAGGGTTTCTCAGAAAAGCATGAAACGTTGGGTGCATAGTCAAGGCCCTCCATTTATTGCACCACACCACAGGAATGCCAATGGGAGACTCAGGGAATGGAGCAAGACTGAAACATGCCATGGCCCAAGATTTTGTGCCTCCGGTCAGAGTTTGGCAGTGGAAAGTGTGAAGGACTCCTAGCAAATCCTAGACTAGAAATGGTGAATAATCCCCTCTGTTAAGTCCCACAGATCCACAGGAACAGACTGAGATGTCCAAGAGTCAGCTCCATCTTCCCTTGGACCAGCTCCAAACAAGCTGTCAACAGTAGCACCTGTCCTGCCTAACACCTCCAGAAGGACCGGGACAGCAGAACAGACAGCACCCTCAGCAAGCTCAAAACTGATGCCAAATCGGCTTGCCAAAAACAAAGAAGGGAGTGATAGGGGCTCTAGAGTCTACTGTCAAACTTCGACTGCCAAGACTCCATTCAGTAAAAGTATCACTGAAATACCAAGGATTTAACACTGTGGCCCTTCTCCATTATCCATTTTATTTTCCCTGCTGCTGGCTTGTGGAAGGCTGCCATCGCTGATCTATTAGTTTAGTCTCCCCAGAACCAGACCTGTGACATGTGCATCAGTTCAGAACTTCTCTCATGAAGCTGCTGGCAACTTCAGATGATAACTCTAATCAATTTATCTACTAAGCTACTTAGTATAATACAATCTAAATGCAAACTTCTAGTGATTCTAAAAAAAAAAAAAAAAATAAAAAAATAAGCATTCCTGGCCTTAAAAAGCATTTGAAAAGAGCTTGTCATCAGATACAACTACGTAGTCAGATGCTTACACACCTTACACCCCAGGTAAGGCTACCAGAAGAAATGCAACAGTGTGCCCAACTGTGAGGACAACTTGCACAGACGCTATAGGTTCTGCAGTATAAGGGAAAAAAAAAGGTTTCATCACCTACAGATCTTGACAGATCCTACTTAAAAAAAAACAACTCCTCCTACTCCTGTTAAGATTTGTGCTTCACAGTACTACTACTTGCTGTACTCCCAAAGGTGGTGATGAACACACTGATGAGATGAACTCCAGTCAGAAGCAACTGAAGAAAGGCTTCACAGAATCAGAGAGTGGTTTGTGTTGTAAAGGACCTTAAAGGTCATCCAGCTCCAACCCACTGCCACAGGCAAGGACAACTTCCACTAGACCAGGTTGCTCCAAGCCCTGTCCAACCTGGCCTTGAACACTGCCAGGGATGGGGCAGCCACAGCTTCTCTGGGCAACCAATGCCAGGGCCTCAGCACCCTTACAGGGAAGAACTTCTGCCTAAGATCTCATCTCAACCTCCCTCTGTCAGGTTAAAGCCATTCCCCTTTGTCCTGTCCCTATAGGCCCTTGTCAAAAGCCCCTCTCTAGCTTTCTTGTAGCCCCTTTAGGCACTGGGAGCTGCTGAAAGGTCTCCCTGGAGCCTTCTCTTCTCCAGGCTGAAAAAGCCCAGCTCTCTCAGCCTGTCTCCAGAGCAGAGGATGCCTCAGAGCATCTCCGTGGCCTCCTCTGGACTCACTCAAGCAGGCACTCTGAGGATAGTGCCAGCTTTGGTATGCATTGCAACAGTGCCTGGACAAAGTCTTATTTGAATTTTACTCTCCACAGAGAATCACTAACACCACCAATTCAGGAGACTTCGCTCACCCAGAACTTTGCTAATGACATACAGACTTAACTTTTTCAACTCAGAAGTTGCATAATGCTGAATTTGGACCTGACATAATACTAAGTGCTTTAAATCTAGACTGTCAGCCTTATCAAATCACCATGGTCACCTTAAAACACCAAACCATTTGTTGGCGAGAAGTTACCATACTCACCATAAACATAAGTTGAGCAGTATTAATTATATACCTAACCTTCAGTTACTTATTAATCAACTAATGTATCAGGATTTCTAAAATTCTGCCCAGAATAAACATGAGGGCAATGGCATCCAGGGCATTCCAGCACTGGCCAACTTCAGCCAGTCTCCTGGAATTTCCTAATAATCTGAATTAAAAATAACAATCAGCACTTCTAATACTTCTAGGTCAAAGTCATGTGGGCCTATTGATTCAAATAGTGTACCCTATCAAAAGTGTTTGGCATTATCTTGAATTACCAGAGGAGTGGGGAGTAACTCATCACACATATTTTGCAAATATGTCCTCCAACTTCTCTCCAAATAAAAAAAAAAACACTTGCTGAAACCTTGGGACTTTTCTGCCTTATTAACAATTTACTATCGCCACCTAGTAATAGGTTTATGATATTACAACCTTTGACTCCTATGGCACTGCTCATGCCTCCAGTTACTCAAAAGCTTCTTTCTTTACAAAACCTAACACCGCTTTAATAAGGGCTGCCTCAGACTTTTTTATGCCTTCCCCACACTTACACTGACAAACTGCCTGGACATTTTAACTTCTGCACCACTTGTACTCAAGTACTTCCAGAAGACACTGTTGAGACCTGGAAGACAAGTTCTTATAAAGGTCAGTCACACAGAAGATGGGGTCAACCCAGATAAGGGTCCTAATTCAAGAGTGAGACAGCAAAAGCATAGAACACATGTGTAAGATGCTCTCACTAAACACTGTGACCACTTTCAGCAGAGACACACTGAGCCAGGTGGAGATTCTGCTCCCTTAGTACTCAGAGGATTTTCTTTCCATTAAATT